GCAATTTTCACTCTGTATTGTCGCAAATGAAGAGTTACAAGAGTCCCTTTATGGCAATCATGCTGCTTTTGCGCAGACATGCCCGTACGTGCCCAATTAGGTCGCTGACCAAAGTGGTCTATCTGCAGAGAGCCGAAATCACAACCCTAGAATTGCGGATCATTCTGTGGGTCAACACAAACACTTCTTGAGGCATTTTTTCGCGCCTGGCTTTCACACCGAGCAAGGCTCAGCCTTGGTCACTCCCCTTGGTGTAGTTGGTTCATCACGTTCGACTGTAATTGTTCATCTCTTGTCATCGAAAGGTCTCTAGTTCGATTCTGGAAGGGGAGAACCAAATCTTTTGCCTTTTTGGCTGTTGATGATATCTTGATTTTGCTTTAGAGCAATGTTGGGTTGCGTGGGCGTGTTTTTGAGTTGTGCTTTGTGGCCGTTGGATATTGTGGAATTAGTGGTTTTTTGTTCAAAGATCTTTGGTTGACTTTTCAACTAGCTGGGCGTCACTTGAGCTTCCCATGCCTCCCACGTACTTGGGACTCACATATGAATGGTATCAAGAGGAGGTTGTGAACCTCGCGACATGAGCAAGCTTGAATTCGATCTCAGTTCTATCATTACCGGAACCTACTATAATCGCTTTCAGCCCGCGCGTACATAACGGACAGAAGACTTGCAGCTACATTAGAACTGTGATGGAAAGGCGACCCGCGTCAAACCAATCTCGATCAACCATTCCTGATCCCATTTCAACCCATCCCATCCCGTCCCTCACCCATTCACTCAAGCACCAAGCCCAAACCACCGCCGAAACCACCCGACAGCCTGATCCTCCGCCCTCATCCCAAACTCCGCCTGCCGCTGATCATTCGGGTTCCCCCTCACAGCAAACCCATGCGTGGCACCGACGTACTCCACAATCTCAAAGTCCTCCCCCTTCTTCCCCAGCACGCTCTTGGCCTCCACCATCCGCGCCCGCGGCATCATCATATCGTCGTCCCCGTTCGCCACGCTCAGCGGCAGCACCACCTTCTCCAGGTCGCCCGGCAACGTGAGGAAGCTCGGGTGCGCCGTGAACCCGCAGTCGATGAGCCTCTCACCGCCAAACGGTCCCGCGGCGAGCTGGGAGAGCAGGACGGTGAACTTTCCGCCCCAGCAGAAGCCCGCGACGCCGATTTTGGTATCTTTCTTGGCGGATGCCTCACCGGCGGAGGAGGACGTTGAGGTGGATGGACGGGGAGGGAGGGGAGACGGCGGCGAGAGGCGGACGGCGCGGAGGTAGTTCTCTATGCGCGGGACGACGACGCTGGAGCGGGTGGCGATGACGAGGGGGATGAAGTAGCGCAGCATCGTCGCGACCATGACGGGCGCGATGACGAAGTATTTTCTCCACCACGACTTTTCGGCCTCCATTTTGTCGGTCATGGCGAGTGCGGTCGCTGGGATGGCGTAGCCTTTTTGGTTACACATGGTGTCAGTGGGTTCGTAACATAGAGGGGCGCATGAGAGTTCACGACATCGCGGCCTGAGCATCACGATGTCCCACCCATTTCCTTCTCTGCCTGCTCGCCCGGGACATCACACCGATCACCAAGACAGTCAGGCCAAGGACGGGTGATTACAACGTAGAAGCCAAAGGCAGTCCCACGAAGCAAAACCAACGAAAGAAAGAATGACCCTTCTCCAAAAAAAAAAAAAAAAAAAAAAAAAAACTCACCATTCATCAACTCAGGAAGCAGCACAACCGCCGGGATCCTGTTCGCATACGCATCCGCCAGCGCGCGCGTATTCTGCAGCTCCCACCCCATTGCGTCCGGCAAAATCACGACGACGCCCGCGGGCTCGCCGCGGCCCGGCTCCGGGCGCGCGACGTACGTCGGCAGGCCGTAGACGGTCTCCACGGTGCCCTTGAGCTCAGTGTCGCCGCGGAGTGTGCCCTTGAAGCAGTCGGCGCAGAAGCGGGGGGCCTGGTGTTGTTGCGGTTCCGACGACATTGTGTCTATGTAGTAAGTTGGATGTGTTGCTCAATTGGTGGAGAGTGAAAAGATCAAGTTTTTGGTTATTCGGGGGAAAGCTGCCTGCCTTATGGACGGGGTGAGATAAGCGTTGGGTAGATTTGAGCTCTCCCTGGATGCGACAGCTTCTGGTGTAGGCCGGACGGTCAATTGCGAGTTGACTAAATGTACGAAAAAACGAAGGTGCCCGCAATGTTTGACACAGTGAAAGGAAGAGTAGAGACCAAGGCGGGAAGGACGTTATCTCTATATTCTATAGAGACTACCTCAGGTCCCAAAACACCTCAAGCTCCTGCAGAGCTAACCTCAGCTCAACTAAACTGACCTTGCAAAAGGGAGCTGTCACACCAGCGGGCACGCGGGGTTGGCGGAGAATGAAATCATGGACGACGGAGTTTCATCCGAATCCGACCCCCGACCTAGATTCCTACCTCAGCAAGCTTGGATACTACAGTCTACTAGGCTTGTAGGGGACGTTCGTACTCTGAGAACAAATCACAATCATCAATCGGGAATGGCTGCTCCTCGGCTCGCTTCAACATCACGTTTCTCTCGCGCATGCATGTCGATCGATCTATACCTAGATATCCCGCCGCCCGCCCGCGTAGCCGGTCTGCGCCAACCACGTAGCTTCCTCACCATACACGAGCATATTAGCGTGGTGCTGTGCTACCCTTCCATTCTCGTAGCCGTCATGGGAGTCGGCACGCTCGGTTTCTGAGCGGGATAGAGTCCCAGCAATTGGAGAGCAACAAAACGGGATCGGACCTGAAAAAGACCATTTCTCGGAACTCATCAAGTGCGAAAGGCAGACTTTCTCCACTCAGAGCCGGCCGATGGCACCTCGATTCCTCCGTCTTCTCCATCAAAGACCTTTAGGGCCGGGGCGGGAACGTAACACATTTTTTTTTTGGGTTGCTGACAAAAAAGTCGGGTCCGAAGGGAGAGGAAATTGGACTCACCGAGGTGTGGAGGTGTAGCTTACCGAGAAAGAAATGACGTGATTGGACCAGAGGATTTCAACACACAATTTCCCGTCTCAACTCAACAACACATCTATGCTTGGTCATGTTGACTCACCAAACTAGCCTCGACTTCCCTACCTACTTTACCCAGGAAAGATAGCTTTGAGCTTGGCTTATCCCCACACTCTCATTTGTACTCAATACTGTAGATCTTCCGGCAATAATGGTGAGCACATCTTATATCCCTTGAGCGCACTACCAAAATCTACTAAGCCCTATCTTACCTTACTCTGTCGGTGTATACTGACGAGTGTGAAAACGACAGGTCCACGCCGACGCCTCAAACTTCGCCAATGGCGTGACGAAGGAGGAGGCCTATGAGCAGGTCCTCATCCAAGCCGAAGGCCTCCTCGACGGCCAAAGAAACTGGGTAAGCTTATTTATTTCCACTCCCGTATTCACATAGTCCGCACCTCACATACATATTCTCTCAATCTCTCTATCTGATCCCTCATCTCTTCAAGCTCATAAACATTGCAATACCATCATACTCGACTGAAATCTCAGACTAACTTTCTCATAGGTTGCGTAAGTCTAAACATTTGACCCTAGCAAGGCCGTTCTCTCATCCTCGTCCTCATTTCTGGGACGTGATACAAAGCGTGAGGAAAAACCAAAAGAGACTAACCTCACATTCCTACATCGACAGCAATCTCGCAAACACGGCCTCCCTCCTCTGGCACGCATACCACTCCCTCCCCGCCCCCTCAAACGCAGTAAACTGGGCAGGTTTCTACGTCCTCGACCCTTCCACCTCAACCTCAACCTCATCCACCAAACAATCCCTCATCCTAGGCCCCTTCATGGGCAAAGTCGCCTGCCAACAAATCCCCTTTGGCCGCGGCGTCTGCGGCGCCGCCGCCGCCACGCGCCAGACCCAGCTCGTGGCCGACGTCGATGCCTTTCCGGGGCACATTGCGTGTGATGGGGATAGCAAGAGCGAGGTCGTCGTGCCGATCGTCGTCGAGGACAAGTTGGTGGCGATTATTGACGTGGATTGTGCGGAGAGAGATGGGTTCGATGAGGTTGATCGGGTTTGGTTGGAGAGGCTTGCTGGGTTGCTTGCGGGGGGTTGTGATTGGTAGGAGTGGAGATGAAGATACAGGGTGAAGAGGGAGGTAAAGATGAGGATAAGGACGAGGATGAAGAAGAAGATGAGGATGAAGACGGGGAGATAGGATGAAGTGATTAGAATGAAGGGGGTGGTAAGAGGGTGAAAGAAGGGAAATGATGAGTTGGTGCGGGAGTCTCATGGGATCAAGAGAGAGGAACGGAAATCGTCTGCGGATGAGAGAGAGAGAGAGAGAGAGAGAGAGAGAGAGAGAGAGAGAGAGAGAGAGAGAGAGAGAGAGAGAGAGAGAGAGAGAGAGAGAGAGGGGGGGAGAAAGAGAGAGGGGAGAGGAAAGGAAAGAGAAAAAGAAGAGAAGGAAAAGAGAGAGAGAGGGAGCGAGGGGGAGGGGGAGAGACGAGGGAGGAGGAGAGAGAGGGGAGAGGGGAGGGGGGGGGGAGAGGGAGGAAGGGAGGGGGGGGAGGGAGGAGAGGGGAAAAAGAGAGAGAGAGAGAGAGAGAGAGAGAGAGAGAGAGAGAGAGAGAGAGAGAGAGGAAGAGAAGATGCGGGTTACTCATGGCATTGGATGAGAAAAAGAAGCAAAAAGATTTACACGGAGTTGGCGACAACAGGCACCCGACGGAAGGGATACGGAGTTATCTCAACATAGAATCACTTGTGATGTTGGTCACAGGGCAGAACATATTGGACTCAACAAAATATATTGAGCAACGCTAGAGTCAACCTCTGCGTCTTACGACTAAAAACTTTTTTTTTGGTTCCCATCTATTGACATTCCCGCCAAACATTCTCCCCATCCTTCCCATCCCAAGCCCCCGCACCCTCCCCCCCCCCCATGAGTTCATGAATCCATGTCTTTTCGTGGTTTGCGTTATATTCACACGCATGCAGCATTTACTCGAGAGCCTTCTTGGCAAAGTTGGGCAGGACGAACGCGGCCTTGTGGATGTCGGCGTTGTAGTACTTGCACAGCTTCTCCTCCTCCTCGGCGGACCACTTGCGGAGGGGCTCCTTGACGTTGCGGCCGGCGTCCTTGGTGCAGACCATGAAGCCGATCTGGCCGCTGGGGTAGGTGGGGATGGTGGTGTAGGCGTACTCGGCGACGGGGAAGATCTCCTTGCAGTCCTTCTTGAGCTTGGAGATGAGGGGCATGTGGAGCCACTGGTTCTCGGCTGTTTGGTGTATGCTGTTAGCTAGTCCTGGTCTCTAGATTTAACAGTAGAGTCGTCAAGAATCAAGAATCAGGAGCGCCTTCCGACAGAGAGTCAGGCTGAATGAGCGCCGACAGAAAAGGGGGAGGAAGGAGGATAACAGTCTCGAGTAGGCGCAACACTTTGAAAGAATAGACAAAGGAGAGTTCAAAGCGTATCCAGGTTCACACAACCCAGTCTCACCGGCATGCCACTGGGCAATACACCGGTATCTCGTAGGGAGAATCGAGGACAGGCCCAAAGAAGTATAAAGAAGCAGGCACCACTCCTAGGTAGCAGTGGTGTCTGCGGTCTTGTCTTGTCTTTTCTTCAGAGACCCGAGACTTCCTTGATTCCCCTCGATATTCCTGAACAAATGGGAACGTACAACCTTGGGTAGTGATGACACCGCCCTCCCTCAGGGCGTCGTGGAGGAGCTGGAAGTAGGGCTTCTGGAAGAGGGACTCGGCAGGGCCCTCGGGGTCGGAGGAGTCGGTGATAATAACATCAAAGGTGTTCTTGTACTCCTCGAGGAACTTGAAGCCGTCGCCGACGTGGGTCTTGGACTTGGGGTGATCGAAGCCGACGGCCATGTTGGGGAGGTACTGCTTGGACAGGCGGATGACGGCCTCGTCAATGTCGCAGAGGATGGCCTCCTCGACGCACTCGTGCTTGACGACCTCGCGGAGGACACCGCCGTCGCCGCCGCCGATGACGAGGACCTTCTTGGGGTTGGGGTGGGAGTTCATGGCCAGGTGGGTAATCATCTCCTGGTAGGAGAACTCGTCACGCTCGGTGGCCTGGATGACGTTGTCCAGGACCAGGACCATGCCGTAGTCGGTGGACTCGAAGATGAGGACATCCTGGTACTGGGACTTCTCATGGTGAATGACCTTCTTGACCTTGAGGGTCATGGCCTGGCCTGTGGCAGGTTGTCAGCATGCCCGGCGTCCTCTCATTCTCACGATGCTTGAGTTGAGGGGGTGTGGGTGACTTACCGGGCCACATGTTGGAGATCTCACGGAACCAGCCATCTGTACATCATTCCATCAGGTTAGCGCGCGGTCTCGACTCGTTCATCTCATTTGTTTCCAAAAAAGGGCATCATCTTGTCGCATCCACTTTTGTCAGTCAGTCTGTGTGTTCTGTGCCATTGCCGATCTCGAAAAGTGCCGTGCCCGGAGCAGCCATAAGCCGGCATATTTGCAATGTACAAATGTCACCTCAGCAAGAGAGGTATGCCGTATTCGACAAACGATCTGCAAAATCAAGAGACGAGGTTTCTCGGTTTCTCCTGACGAATTGCTTAACCGAAAGTGGCATGAAGAATAGTGCATGCGCGCTCAGACGGTGGAGGAGCCAGGGCTGAAGGTGTTTTTGGGGGACCCGGAAGAGGACGGATAAGCCACCCGTCAATAGTTGCGGGAGGTTTCGTTGACGATTGACCAGGTGCAGGCAGTCCGCACGGCACAAAGTCCGTCTGCCAATTGAGCCAATGAAGGGCGGTACGGACGAACGAGACAAGGCCGCTCATGGGGGCCCGCTTCCCGGTTGCGATATTCTCCGTCTTCCGTTGCGTGGGCTCTTAGCGAAGAAACCCCCCCAAGGTTCCCAAGGGCCCCAAGGTGACGACAGGCGGGGTGCTCAAGACATTTTTTGTATGGCGGGGTATTCTGAGACGGGTGCGTACAGAGATCGGAAGAGCCAGTAACGAGCATCGACCAGCAGGACAGAGCAATAAGTAGCATACACCCAATGCCAACGATAGCAGACGGATGCCGGGCAGCCGCAGACAGAAAGGCAGACAGACAAACAGACAAACACACAACAACAGACAGAGATCTGCTTGAGTAAGGGAGGGGAGGGATGGATGGATGGATGGAAAGACGGGGATTGGACCGCACGAACCTTGGATGGTAGGATGGGCAATTTCGCTCATTTTGATGGTAGACGGGGGTTTGGCAGGGCTACTGTGTAGATTGTGTAGATATCGACAGGTCGGCAGAGGCACAAGCAATCGAGATAGATGATGCTGGTGCAGGCGTAGTAGTTGAGAAGGGAGGGGTGTTATATGACGAAGAAAAGCCAGGATGGAAAAGTTGAGATTGTCTGATATCAAAATGTGCGTTGACGTCGTGGGAGAGAAGAGGTGTTGTGTGGTTGGCCTGCCGATGTGCGGTGTGTGCTGGGCCTGCAGAGAGAGAATCTGTACCAGTACCCATGGAAGGTGCGCGCGCGCTCCCCCGCCGTCAACAAGCGTTGGTGCGGGCAAGGCGAGCGAAAAAAAAAAAGGAAAAAAAAAAAAAAAAAAAAAAAGGCGCTGCAAGAAAATTTTTGTGGCTCCGGGGGTGGCCTCGTTTTGAAAATTCGGGGCTCCAATTTTCCAGTGCACCACGGACAACTCACGGTGAGGCCTATTGGCTCGTTGGCCAAAGCCCACCAGATGGCACTTTGAATGGAGCATCGAGATTTCCTCAATCTCTCTCACCATCACCAGACGCACTTCGATCCTGTTCATGTCAGTGCGTCAGTCAGGTTCCTGACTCTGTCCACATCAGTGTCTTAATACCAGCACAATACATTCGTGACCTTGCCTTTAATTGCCCTGCCAGGCCGAGCACGTCCGTCGTATTCGACATTGTCAACAGTAATAATACCAACCAGAGTCATGGATCGATCCATTCTCCGGGCGCACACAGATGCCATGTTCCCATGGCTCTGGGTTGAACGATTAGCAATCCGACCTGGACGATTGACAGCCCAGAGATTCTCAGACCGTCTATCCCTTCCTTCGCGGACTGTCTCACGAATGCAGCCTGTCAACCCCATATGCCGGCCCAACTTTTCCTGCCCAGTCGGTCCGTTGCACACCAACAACGACGCTTATCGCGAAGGGAGCACCTGTTGGCCGGTGCTACCGACGACACGAAGCCAAACCAGAATTTTATGCTTGTGAGTTTGGAACCGGGAGTCTGAGTCCTCTGGGCTCTCGGACTGAGCCTTGTCCAGAGCTTCACTCCGACCTTCGTCATCGGCTTTGCGGGCCACTTCCCAGAGCCAACAAGCCCTGAGGGAATTATCCGCTATCCGCTGCTGTACGCATACTACAGGCACGGAGAAGGAATATGCGGCGTACGACGTGCCTTTGCAGAAAACGTGGCGAGCCAGGATCAACAGCCCAAACCTCTTTGGTTTTGTCCCTCTTTTCCTTTTGGCTTCTTGTCCCTTCCTCTGCGTCTCTCGCTTGCTGCTTGCTGCTTTTCTTGATACTGAACGGGATGTCAAATCCGAACAGTCCCCCACAGACCTCGCCTCCCTGCTCCACCTGCTCACCGGCAATCAACAGCGTCCATGTCTCGCCCGGTTGTCGCCGGATCAAGACAGTAAAGATCATCTCTCCACCACCCGTCAGATGTAACAGCTTATTTGGTTTTGACAGCCCGCCTACTGATAGACGAGACGAGATGAAACGGAACTATCCTTTTGCAACTGGGTATCCGTAGTCAAGCAGATAGTGTAGGTATCCGTACCTAGGGATCCGTAGCCTATGAAGTCAAGACATCAGCCTGCCCCACAGACCGTGCTGAGGTAGTAGGCTGCGATGGACCTTACCCAGACAAAATCAAACAGGAAGTCTTCGGACTTTGGTAGTCGAGGCTGAGGAACTCGCCCACAGATGTTATCCACAGCAGGCTGGGTCAGTTTGGCGAGCTAATTGACAAGTACGCTCACTAAGCGGTTCGATTCTTCAGCGGCAGCGAGACACAACCCGAAGAACCTGCCTGCCGCCTGAGACAAGACCTGCGCGTGCCGGGCAAGAATTGGCTGAGCCCAGCCATGAACCCTTCGCCGATGTAAAGATATAGGCCCGACATGGGCCCATCCTCACCTAAGTCCATACAAAAGTACGCCTTTCCCGTTTCTCACCAATGCCATGGTTATTTTCATGCTGCCGGCCGCCGTGGTTTGCACCAGCTGCCGCGACCGAGCGACGGCCTCGCACTACGTGCCGAGGTCGAAAGTTAGTAACCTTCGGTTATGCAAGACATAGAAACCCACTGCCCACCGTCTCCAACTGCATCGCGACTGTGCTACTTTTTGTCCCTTGCTGTACATGTCGTTGAGTATGGGTGTTGGAAAAGAAGCAGGAAACTTTGCAACTGTGATACAGCGTGTTGCAGGCCATATCGTCTCATCTCTCCTGTCGCAGCCGCCATCATCAAAGAACCTTCTTATCGGAAATAAATGCCAGCTTGAAGGTCTGGCATCTTAAGTGTAACACAATGTTCAGCCTCCATCACCTCAGCTCCCTCAGCTTCCCCTACCCACCAGGAACGAGGGTGAGAGCGATGGGCATTGTTAACACAATGATCAGCAATCACACACCAAAACATCGTCTACCATCGCAGTCCTGAACCCATCGATGTTGCTTTGATCCTGCATGAACCATAATCGCCTTTGGCAGGGCCAGTCCCGAGACCAGACATGAGGAAAATAAACTCTTTCATAACATGCAACGTCTCTACCGAGAGCGGTGTCTGTAATATCCAATCGAGTCCCATTATGGCTGATGCAATGCCATGCCAGACGCCGGTGCAGAAACCTTGAACCCAATTGGGAGAAACAAAACGTTTGGTGCAGGATGCTAGTCCATGCGGTGCAGCGCGTGACAGAGCTTCCCATGCCAAAGTTTACTTCAAAGTGTTTGAGGTCAATCTGCGGGCACTTCTGCCTCTCGTGGAGTCTGGTTGTACCTGTTGCTTGCCTCCGGGGCCCTGTCCTGTGCGACTAACCCATCTGGCGGTTTTCTGTCGTCCGTCATACCACTCCTTCGGATCGCGGCTTGCCATTAGACGGATCTGAAAATTAGTTCCACCATCCTACACGCCATCTGCTCATTCGACTACTTTGCTTTACCGTCGTCTTTGTTGCCCTTTACACCGTGATATAACCGTCTGAGGGGTGGTCTGGCGGGGACCTGTTCGTTCAGCCATATTCATTCTGACCGCCCGCATCCGGCAGGGACTTCGTCGCCACGTGGTGAAAGGCGCTCTCGTCAACAGGACTTCTTGAGACGTCGAGACCGCACCATCTCGGGCGATGTCAAGAGTAATGTGGGCTGATATCTTTGTTGAAGGACTTGCCCAGTTGTGCTGGCTCTGGTAAAGCCTTGGCTGTTGCTTCTACAAGGCAGAGAGCCTAGTCCTAGGGCCCAAGCAATCCTTGAAAGCTGCAACAAAATTTCCGGCGGCGAAGTACTCGATCTTGGTGTAGCCTCCGTTGGACTGCGGCTCTGGCGCGGACGGCAGTCTTCTTGCAGCGCATCTGAGTCCATTCTTGCTCCTGTCAAGTCTACGAGAGGCAAAATCTAAGATGTCCCGTCCATTTGGTCCAAGATCTTTGTAAGGTCCATGCTCGCGTTGCGCCAGCTACTTCTCGAACGTATTGGGCAAAGCAGGTGCGGCTCAGGAAACGTGCGTTGATCTGGCTCATCGACGTTCAAGGATCCCCGTCAGAAAAGCCACGAGTTGTGCAATCCATCCACAAACGGCCCCCCTGTCGAACAAAACGAGCTGCTCCTCTCATCCTTGCAAGAGCCACGCCAGAAGGCCCGGGATCATGAAGAAGGATCCCAGCCCACTGGAGCATTCGTTTCTGCGGGACTCTTCCGTTGATGCTGCAGGTCCCCTTTAGCGGCCCGCAGAATCAGCGCTTCATTTTCCCACTGGAGCCTGCAATGCTGATCTGAATTATTGTTGGGGAAAAGTCTAGCAGAATGCGACCCTGAGGCAAGACGAGAGACTGCCAGAGTCGTGTTCTACTGGCGGCGTTGCAATTGCATGAATCAGGGGGTGACATGCTTTCCCCGAGAGCGGACGTGTTCGGCCAGGACCCCCGCTATTCGAAACGAAAAGCTGGCATCATGGTTGTGCCATGCGTTGGAAGAAGGCTTGACTGCAGAGAAAACATTGTTACCTATCGAAAGCGGAAGCATTGGCCAAAGCTCTTCGCGGATAGAATGTCGTCGTATGGCAGATGGAGGAAGGTCCAATACTTGATGTGGCTGCGTGGCGAGCCGCTAGATATGGAAGCAACGAAAGAGGCGTCGTCGAGTGGGACGTGTTTCCGCAAGCAACATGTAGCGATGACCTGCTGAAGGGCGAGGCGCGAGCTGGCTACGGCTGCGGGTGCGATGGCGGGTTCGCGCACGAGAAGGAGGCAGACGAAGAGCTCGGTCCACGAGGCGTTTCCGGAGTAGGGGCTCAATTGGGGTTTTGTGGCAGCGATCTGGTGTCACGCAGGGGCCTGGAGGATCGAAGTGGCTCTGTCTTTCCGTCTGTTGTGTGGAATGCCACGATGACGCTCCATACTGAGAACGGATACTCAGCCAAATTGAAGGCTCAACTGGAGCCTTTGATTGATGCGCTGCCCAGGTGTTATTTGACAGCACAGCCAACAGCAACTGAGCCATTGATTGGTCCATGGTGTGAACGGGATGGCCGCGGATCTGTCGCAGTCCTATGCTGATTGTGGGCGGAGCCCGTTAATCTTTTGAGTTTGAAGCATATCGAACAAGTCTTTGAAGGTGGTGTAGGTATCCCCAGGTGAGGGCAGGATGAGACAGGCGACGCGGATTGGGTTGGTGTTTTGGCGACAGACCAGACGGTTCGAGGTTGAGAGTTGTTGAATCGACGCAGCCATGTGCCATTGTACTCTGAATCTGCAAGAGTCTATTGGCTTTCGGCTTGTTTGCTGTGACCGTTGGCTTCTCTCCTTGTGCATGAAGTTATGAGGCATGGCAGTTTGCAGCTCGCAACCTGCATTTCTGGGACACTCCGGCCTAACATTGTGCATGCGAAAGGGTGTGCGTCAAACCATGACATAGGTCTTCTTCGAAAGCACGTCCAGACCGGCAACTAGAGATTATTCGAGTGGCTGCTAGCACCTAGGGAACTCAGCCAGAAAGCTTAGGTTGTGGTTGCTGAGAGGTAGGTATTCGATATATAGATGCATTTGTGGTGCCTTGAGGAGCATGACATGAGTGTCGAGAGGGTTGTGAGGGTCGCGTGCGAAGCACTGGGGGATGCGGCGAAGTCGATCCTCGATGAGGGTCAAAGAGAGGGCATTCATGAGATTGTTCGTTCGGCTGGGTCCCGAGGAACTGTCCGGCTCCGAGAAGAAGAAGAAGTAGTTTCAACGAGCCATTGGATTGGTTGAGCGACGGATGAAATGTCTGAGATGATGGCGGACTGAATATCTGACCAAAGAGAAAGAGGTATCAGAGGTGGTGAAGCCTGAAGACGGCATTCGTAGCTTTGCACAGAGGAGACGAGGATTGGCGTGCCTTCGTGCCTGTGTACTAAGGCGACCGGAGTCACTGGACAGTGGACGGTGCGACGGGGAACTGGAGGTGGCTTGCTTTCTAATGCAAGTGCAAGGAAGGCGCGGACAGACTTGAGAGTACCCCAGCACAAGTAGCTGCCAAGTCTCGTGAGCTGCAATTCTGCGGCAAGAGCGAGCCGGGATGACAAGACGAATCAGACCGGCGATACAAGCCAGGTACTTCAGGACATGGACCCACTTGCGTCCCGTTCTTCTCTTGCCTTAGGTGGAAATCTAGAGCAAGGTACGTACTCGGGACATGCAAGTTGAGGCAGGTACTGCTACCACCCCGGCTCAAGAGTTCCGCATGTTCCTGTTCCCGCTCTCCTGTTCATGTCGCATTTCTTTTTCTTTTTTGCTTTCCAACGGATAAGCTATGCTGCAGCTCTAGCTCTAGCAAAGGTCTGTTGGTTAGAATGGATTCGGTCATACGGGTACAGCGAGGTAGCATCGAAGGTGGTCGGACTGGCATTCCATAGAGTCAGGGTCGTGATCGACGTCGTGGCGGTGGTGGTGGTGGGCGTTTATTGTGCGGCTATTCACCTTTGCAGTGCAGCAGTTCAGAGTCTACTCAGTACTACCACAGTACGCCATGCATGGAGGAACACGGGTACAGAGAATAATCATTCAATCTAGACTAGATAATCCATGCTTCCATAGACACAGCAAAGTCGCATCAACCCTGTTCTGTTTGCTTGCCCATGCCATTGCCAGGAGTCAAGCCCAAGGACAAGCATACGTACCCATACCCGGGACCAGCACTTGCGTGACTCTCTTTCCCGTCTAACCAATGTACGAAGTGAGGTACCTTTACCCTGCCTGACCACCACAAGGTACTTTGCGTATCTAGCCGTCCTCGGTTCATACCTACTCTATCCGTACATACCATGGCCACGGCAAGTGATGGAACGGGGCACGATGGTACCTTGTTAACGGGGACCATCGACGGAGGCAAGGACGAGGGAGGCACGGAGGGTACCAAGTGTTGACAGCTAATGAAATTGAATCAGGTAATAAGCACATAATGTACTCCGTACCTTACGGATACCATGAGGTGAGGAGCATGGAGCACAGAGCACGGAGCGCTCCAGATGGATGAGGTGAGGTGACTGAGCAGGTCCCAGGTCCCAGGAGCAGGAGCAGTAGGTAAGGTAGTGAAGAGGGCGGTACTTCATAGTTTGCTCTTTGTGCGTGCGTTTGGGTACCAAGTATCCCCGTACGGATACAGCACTTTGGCTTGTTCTTCTTCTTCTGCTGCAGAACAACCTGTCTGCTTCGTCTACTTCGACTTCTCTTTCTCGCTCTCTTCCTCCTCTTCTCCTATTTGCTTCCAATCTTCCTTCCCCGTTCCGTGCGTGTCCGCCGTCTTCCTCGATCCTTCTCCCAGCACTTGGCTACCCTCATCACATCAATCTCGCTTGGTCATCACCAACATAGCTTAACAGCCTCTGTGTGTCACTGTCACGTCTCGTCTCGTCTGGCCTCAGCTTCTTGTCTGCTCCTCACATCATCGTCGCCATCGTTCCTTTCTCCAATTCCTGCGCTAGCCCGTTAGTTCTCTCCCCTGACCCGCCATTGGCCTCGCTGGGCAGCAAAAACACCTGAGCAGGAGGATTAACATTAGCAACCCGCAGCTCACCGGGCGTCCGCTACGAACGCCCCCTAGAGTCTTAGCGGTTTTTGTTTTTCTCTAACCTGCCAGCGGGAACAAGAACAAAACCGACAAAAGCTTCCTCTGCCCACTCCCGCCCGTCTTATTCCTCAAACGTGGACCTCCAAAAGGTGTACAGCCAGAGACAGGCACGCCGCAGAGCACTGCACCACCACACCACACCGCACCGCACCGCACTTCATACCTACGGGCAGGCATTGCATTTCGATTCTTCTACCCACGCCATCCGCCCTCGCCGTCGCTCCCGTCGCCTTGTTGTCTCGCCTCGACTCGACTCGACTTCCAATCTCTCTTTCCCCCCATCCTCCCCGCCTTGCGCCTTGCGCTTCACCTGCATCACGCTGAGATTACGATCCAAATCGACCCTTTTTCTTCCATCCCGGCCCGGTCAACCTCTCATCGCTCTATTTTCATCTCTTCGTCTGATCTTGCCGACCTTCAACGCCCTCGGACCATTGCGAGACCGTTCCAATCCTACCTGGACCTCGACGCGAATTCCTCCAAGAACCCTCCTCCCCGGAACTAGCTGCTCGCATTTCTTCTTCCACCTCGTTTTCGCCTTAGACCGTTACCATCTCCACCGGTCCGCCTCATTGATTGTTTCTCGGTTTCTGCCCACACTTTTCTTACCGACTGAACGCGTTACTTTCTTTTCCTTTTTGCCCCAACACTTGTTCAGCGTCACCGCGCCGGCTCCTTCGTGCACCCAAATTATTCGGCGATAAACGTCCCTACACCAGTATGTGTTTCGGGGCTCGAACAAAAGATGACGGCGGTGGTGCTCGTTCGCGCGACCTCGACCGCATGATCCGACAAGATGAGAAGCGCCTATCGAAAGAAGTTAAGCTGTTGTTGCTGGGTATGTTGACGCGATCGCTAACTAGCACAATGCATCTGTTCGTGCGCTGACTTTGTTTTCATTTGTACAGGTGCCGGAGAATCTGGAAAATCCACTGTCCTGAAGCAAATGAAGTTGATTTACGCACAAGGTTTCAGCAAGAACGAAAAGCTCGAATGGAAGCCGGTCGTGTTCAACAACATTGTCCAATCATTCCGTTTGATCCAAGATGCCATGACCGAAATGGGAATCGAGTTCAGCAACCCCGAAAATGAGGCAAGCGACCCCCGATAAAGCTCATGTTGACGCCAATTGCGTGCGACAACCTCGAGACATCCTATCACTCTTCGTGCGTGCAATGAATAGAACGGCCCGGCTAACACATGGTGTCTCTTGCAGAAGCACATGGCGCATATCTTGGTGGAACACGAGATCAACGCCCAAGACCCTCTCCCGCGCGATTACCTGCAACCTGTCAAAGAACTCTGGGTCGACAGTGGTGTCAAGCAGGCAATAGCAAAGGGCAACGAGTTCGCCCTCCACGACAACCTGGCATAGTAAGCATACTGTCGCACCACCTGCCTTTGCAGACAATATGGCTAACCGATATAGCTTCTGTGACGATTTGGACCGCATTTGGGATGCGAGCTACGAGCCCACAGACCAAGATTTGTTGCGATCAAGACTGCGAACCACGGGAATCACCGAAACGGTTTTCGACCTCGGTCAACTGACATACCGCATGTTCGACGTCGGTGGCCAACGTTCAGAACGGAAGAAGTGGATCCATTGCTTCGAAAATGTCAATTGCTTGCTCTTCCTTGTCGCCATCAGCGGATACGATCAATGTTTGGTCGAGGACAAGGACGGCGTAAGTGTGACCGAGTCTATTTTTTCTCGCTTTCTGTCAAGCTGACCAACCCAACAGAACCAAATGAACGAAGCGCTCATGCTCTGGGAGTCGATTGCCAACTCGCACTGGTTCACGAAGTCTGCCCTTATCCTCTTTCTGAACAAGATGGATCTCTTCAAGGAGAAGCTCCCTAACAACCCAATCACGTCGCACGGTTTCACGGATTACCACGGCCCCGCCGAAGACTGGAAGTCTGCCAGCAAGTACTTCTTGGACAAGTTCCGCGCCCTCAACCGAAACACCGAGAAGGAAATTTACGGACATTTCACGAACGCCACTGATACGAACCTGCTCAAGATCACGATGGGCTCGGTCCAGGATATGATTATCCAGCGCAACCTCAAGCAGCTGATACTATAAGGCAGAGCCAGCGATATTGGGTCACCAGGTGGCCTAAAATTATCCTCAACCCCCCACCCCACGGCATGCATGAAACATGCCAACTCTAATCGATACCCGCGGTCTTTCCGGCTTTCCTAAGCTCATCACGGCCCCGCCCGGCGGCGCTAGTCGTTCACGACGATTGCCACTTTGTCGTGTATCTGCGATTACACGCCTGGGCCTCCCGGTCGCGATACATCAGCGAGTCCATTGCGGACGCCGGCACCGATATGGATGTATATTACTCCACTTCCTTTGTGTCTAATTTCTCGTCATCTATTGTTCATATGCCGGCGTTAGTCTGAACAGAGAGTTTGGCAAAAAGAATTGTGGCTGGATCACTCGGCTATTTTTTTTTTTGCATATTATTATCATCACAGCGGTCGTTGGTACCGCGCAGCCGAGGCCTGTAGAAGAACAGTAAACAAACCACTGAGAGTGGTCCCAACTTGGAGCTTCAAGGTTGAGGCTCATGGGAAGAAAGGAAAGAAGGCGGAGCAGGTTGCGAAGGGTGGTTAGTATGAGACGAAACGGGAGCGAGTGGAGAGAGAGGCCGAGCAGAATTGGATTCGCGTAACGATGGATTGATACCTAATCAAGTGTTTCAAAGCTTTGCCGCTCACATTGGGGGTCAGGGGAAAGACATGTGTGTGGATTTATGCTGCGAGGCGGAAGCGCCGCGGGCTACAGAGCAAGCATCTATCTCATTTACAAGAGAAAAGGAAAAAATCAGATAAAACATGTTAAAAATTCCGTCTGATGACCGCCCAATGCGTATGCTCTAAATATGTAAAGGGATCTTGTTCGATGGAGTTTATTTTCGGTCGAGCCTCCAATGCCTAACACTCTTCGCATTGAAGAAACACCAGCCTCAATTTTAAGCTTTATGTAGGAGTGGCATATCCGACCCAAGGAGATGGGTTGGGACCAGACTGCAGGGGTCATTGATACTACGTCGTGCTCTCACTGATAATTGGCGTCCGGGAGAATTGGACTGGACTGGGCTTGTCATGGTTTCGGGTTTTGTGATACCCCAAACATGAGCTTACAAAGAAGATGTTTCACGCGGGGGAAGGAAGAGCTGATTTGACCGGACGAACGTCGCCAGGCAGGTTGCCGAAAAAAATCAGCTATAGAGTTGGATGGAAGAGAGATTGGGGTAAGTCAGGGTGCGTGCCTGTTACACCGCCGTTGGGCGTTTCTGGTTTTGCTTTCTTTTTGCATTCTATCTAAGCCCGTCGCCTGGTGTAAAGCAAGAAAGGCGGCGGCGGACGGCCAACCGGTGTATCGTGAGGTTACCGATTGCCTGGGTTCATTCGATGGTATGTAAGTTGACCTGGAATGTAAGGTGTGGCACGGGAATCGCAAACGAGTCTTGGTTAGGTTCCGATGCTGCTGGGCTAGGTGGGTTCAGTTTGCGTGCCACGGCAAAGCTGTATCCCGGTTCCCGTAGCGTTGAGATCTGGGATCTTTGTTGGGGTATGGAATGTCTGTTCTGGATTGCTCCCTAGCTTGTAAGCTACGCAGAAACATTCCTTTACCTACTCGGCCCGGGAGAGTGTAGGTGGGAGGGTATTCATCACGATGGGGGATGGTAGGCATGGCGATGGAGTCTATGTGTCTTGTTTTTCGGGTATGGAGGGATGGATTTGGAGGATTGAATCGATTCTACTTGATGAGGTCTGTCGTGCTTCGAGGTGGCATACTTCAACTGGTCTTGTAGATCTCAGAAACGACAATGAAGATTTGGAAGACACGAGCCGTATATCAATACTTGAGATAATACAACACTGCGTACTATATATGAAGGCGTAATGATGAGCAAGGATCCTTCTTGATCATGGAGTAAGGAATGTCCAAGGAGAAACCAAAGTAATTAGCGGCGGCTGGACGCGGGGGAGTCCAAGGTAAAGGCCGATCGGAGCCGGGCCGAAGCAATTCAATTTCCCGATAACGGATCGGACAATTCGGAGCCGTGAAAGGTATCTCGCACTGTAGGAATTCGTCTCTCCGAATGCTACAAACACAGTGCGAGATGCCGTCAATAGCCGAACCCCAGGGATGAGCTCCGACCGCGAAGCCCGTCACGGCAGCTACCCCGCCGTTATCGTTCCTCCCCCCACCACCACCACCGCGCCGAACCAAACGTCACTCGCAAGTCGCAACCCCCTCCACTTCGGAAAACACGTAGCCCTTCCTTCAAACATACAATGCGCCTCGCCCTCCGTACCTTACGCACCCTATCAACAACAATCACCAACTCTCCTGCCCACCGCCTCGTCCCCTTTGGCAGCTTTCATCGCAACGTCCGCAAGATGTCGTCCCTCCCGTCCCCGGTGCTCAAGAAGCCCGTCAAGCTAGCCTGCATCCAGCTCGCCTCGGGCGCCGACAAGGCCGCCAACCTCGCCAACGCCCGCGCCAAGGTCCTCGAGGCCAGCGCCGCCGGCGCCAAAATCGTCGTCCTGCCCGAGTGCTTCAACTCGCCCTACGGGTGCGACTACTTCCCAAAGTACGCCGAGACGCTGCTCCCGTCCCCGCCTACCAAGGAACAGAGCCCCAGCTTCCACGCGTTGGCGGCCATGGCGAGCGAGAGCGGGAGCTACCTCGTCGGTGGCTCCGTCCCGGAGCTGGATGCCGAGACGGGGAAATTCTACAACACTAGTTTGATCTTTTCGCCCGAGGGGAAGTTGTTGGCGACGCATCGCAAGGTGCATCTGTTCGATATCGATATCCCGGGCAAGATCACCTTCAAGGAGAGCGAGGTGTTGAGCCCCGGCGACCAGGTCACCGTCGTGGACCTCCCCGAGTACGGGCGGATCTCGGTGGCCATCTGCTACGACGTGCGGTTCCCCGAGCTGGCGGCCATCGCCGCGCGCAGGGGATGCTTCGCGCTCGTGTACCCGGGCGCCTTCAACTTGACGACGGGGCCGATGCACTGGCGGCTGCTGGGGCAGGGGAGGGCGGTGGATAACCAGATTTACGTGGCCATGTGCAGTCCCGCGCGGGACATGGGCGCGACGTACCACGCTTGGGGACACTCGTTGATTATCGACCCGATGGCGAATGTGCTTGTTGAGGCGGAGGAGGGGGAGGGAACCGTTGCGTGGGAGTTGGAGGGTGAGAAGATTGAGGAGGCGAGGAGGAATATTCCTATTAATTCGCAGAGGAGGTTTGATGTGTATCCTGATGTTAGTCAGGGAAAGCAATGAGGATGGTATGGGATGGGATGGATGTTTGGTGTAAGAGAGTTTCAAAGAGATGATGATGTGTGTTTGTTGAAGCTGGTGGAGCAGATTAGGTGCATATAGAAAGGGGTTCGAGGGGTGTCGGCTTCATGTATACCACTGTGGCGCATACAAAAGATGGTCGGGTGGGAGGAAAGACTTCAGCTTAGGTATTACGTGCATCAATGACATCTGCCTTACATTTCAAGCAGAGTTATTTGCGGGATATCACGGTGATTGAGCGATCTCGTAGACGTTGATCAGTTGAAGCTTCACTGCATGTCAGCCTCGAGATATCGAGGGCTACTCACCGTCATCCAAGCAGGTGATATGATGATCTTCAGCCCTCACTGTGGAGCAGCCAAAGTCTGGGCCTATCAATCGGTCTTCAGAACATGAGGAATACTCATACAGCCAGCGATTCTGTCTATTGTCTTTGTCCAAGGTACAGTACGGAGGGAACCACGAGGATCGTAGACCACCAAGGCTTTGATCCAAAAACAAACACCACCGTGCATCGACTTTGGCTTACCCTATAAGACAGACGTAATCTGGTCTTCAAAGTGTAAGGGAATCCAAATCAACTCAATAATAGCCCTCGTTGCAGGTCTGAAGGAGTTCCTCTTCTGCTGTCACAGCTGAACAATGACCGCTTTGGCATCCCATTTGCAGCCGAAACAATCATTAAAAACGAATCCAAGAGAAATGCGTACATCTATCTTCATCTCTTCAAAGCCGTCTGCACCCTAGTCTTACACTCATAACACAGACTCGCCCCATTGACCCTTGCAATCGCCGCCTCGTGCGGCATCAACGTCGCCATCTTGGCCTGGAACGCAATCGACGCCGCAACCACGAACTCGCTAGGCAACTGGCCCGCAAGCCTCTCCCACGAAGCCGGCGAACAGTTTTGCACAAACAGATCCCGCAACCTCTCCATCAACCCTTCGACGTCGTCGTCTCTCCTCCGGTGAAGGCTCGCCAGCGCGACGTAGCCGTTGGCGAAGTTGAAAACCCACCACTCGGCGCCGTGTTGCTGCTGTGCATCACCACCTCCGCCGCCGCCGCAGCTGCCGCCGAGCTTCGTGGCCCCGACGTCGAGCGTCTCGCGGATGGCGGTGGACACTTTCCCCAGAAGCAGGTCGTCGTGGAAGCGGTCGCAGAGGGACCACATGTCGACGAGCTCCGTCAGGTCGTGCGGGGTGTGCATGTCGCAGGGTTTCAGGGAGAAGGGGGAGACCTCGTAGTAGACGGCGTCCTCGCCCGGGTGGTCCGCCGCGTTGCGGCGGCAGCGTTTGACGCGCTGGGCTGTGAGGCGGGTGAAGTAGCATAGTTTCACGTAGGTGCCTAGGGTTAGCGGGCTGATGCTGACGTTGACTTCGCCGTCGTTTTCGTCTGCGTTGTCGTCGGTGTCGTTTAGGTCGATTGTGTTTGTGTGGGATTCGGCGAAGGGTCCGTCGAGGCAGCGTTGGAAGTATTTTGAGGACTCGACTAGGAGGGACTTGTGGATTGCAAAGGACTGGTCTGAGGTCTTGAGCCAGATTATGGTTTGGGGTTGCCTTGGTCTCTGGTCAGTGGGAGACATCACCAGAAGAAGATGTGAGTTTTGAGGATGAGACTGAAGCAGTTTGCTCACTGTAAAGATTCTCGACTTTGAGCACTTATTCAAAGTCCGATAAGAATGCTGAAAGAAGCCTGACGGAAATCATGGACGCAAGGCCCGGGTTCTGGATGAGGAAAAGACATGCAGCATGAAGTCCAGAAGTGACTCAACTTCTCTTCTATCATGGACGCTTTCGGACAGAACGAGATAATGCTGTGACCTCACTCGCAACAACTCAACAGCACAAACACAATTACAGCGGGATTTCAGATCAGATCGCTTTTCAGCTTATTGACTTACCGTAAGAGAGAACCCGCATCGCTCAATTCATCAGGTCTTGGCGCTCCTCGGTCAAATGTGGTATTCATGGTGCTTATGTTTCTGCAGGTACATTTGACAAACTGAGATCAGAATACGAATGTGAGAGTGGGAGAATGAAGGAGCAAAAAAGCCAATTCAAAGTGATGGACATTGCACGGTCGACCCCGCGCCGGATACGGCCTCGGTAAGAGAGCTTGTTCAACTCATCTGATGTTTGGGACCCAATCGGGTGGGTTATCTTGACTCGATCATGCGCGGGTGAAGGGATGATCTTTCAGCTACATTACATTTCCATCGACGAAATCTCGCTCCACAGCTGGATTACAGCTTGTCATCAAGCACACTATGTTCTGACGTCACAGTCATACGGTTCTTCGGTAACCTTGTACCGTGATCTGTCTTCACCTTATCTACAGACAGCTGTCTCCGGTCACAGTTTGGTTTGGGTAGAGAGCTCTGATACTCAGAGGCTATGTTCTCTTCGTTAGTCGATGTATTCAGTTTGTCTGGCGGTTGATATACTTACATTCGCGAAGAAGCCCTGGGGATCGTACTTGGACTTGATTTGAGACAGCTTTGCGACATTGGCGCCGTAGTACGAATCAAGCGGAGGGGTGGAAATCGTGTCATCCATGTAGCCCGAGTAACTCGCCATTCTGTTGTCACTCTCATCAGTCACTCATTCTCATCAGGCTCAAAACACAGCAAGAACGAAGAAGAACTCACCCAACAAGCGGACGCAAGTAATCCTCCAGGCTCTTGAACCACTTCACATAGCCAGCATGGACCTTCTCATCCGCGGAGCTGGACACGATGAACTCCATGTGCGAATACGCCTGCTCGCGCCACGCAAACGCCGCATCGCCCGCAATCGAAATGTTCCACGCGTGCCACTCGATCCACCCCTGCGCCGCGTCGTCGAGCTCGTCGATCCGCGAGATGGCGTTCTTCATCGTCTCGTCAGTGAGCAGCTTATCCTTTTGAACCATGAAGGATTTCGACAGGCGGATGAAGCGCGCCCAGGGCTGCGCGGGGGGTAGCTCGGGCGCCTTTGTCGTCTCGTTGTAAGTGAAGTTTGCGTAACCCGGGATCTGGACGAACGGCTGCTGGATCGTGTTGACGACAAACGGCGCGACTTGCGCAACGGCCTCGTCGGCGCCGCACTCGTTGACGCCGTAGCCGAAGAGGCGGGCGTTGATGGTGTTGCACCCGCCCGAGATGTACGCCGCCGGTTTGCCGACACCCAGGAGCCCGGAGGCGTTCACCATGCCCTGCAGCTTGTCGAGGGTGCAGCCGTAGCACCACCCAATCACGTCGGTGCGGTTCTTGTACAAGTTCACCTGCGAGCTGAGGGCGCTGTCCGCGCGGGGCGCCCACTCATGGAACGTCTTTGCGATATCGAACCGCGTGTCGGAGCCGTTCCACTGCAGGTACACCATGGCGGACCGGGGGAACTCGTACATGCGCAGCGTCCACTCGATGACGATGCCGTAGGATCCGCCGCCGCCGCCGCGGATGGCGAAGAAGAGGTCGGCGTTTTCGTCGCGGGAGGCCGTTACGATGCAGCCGTCCGAGGTGACTACCTTTGCGGACTCGACGTTGTCGACGCCGAGGCCGTTTTGGCGCATCTGCATGTTGAAGCCGCCCGCGGAGAGGAAGCCCGAGATGCCGACTGTGGGGCAGATGCCGCCCGTCCAGTCGAGGCCTTGCTGGCCGAGGGCCGTGTAGAGGGCGCCGAAGCGGATGCCGGCGCCGACGGTGGCGGTCTTTTTGTCTGCTGCGATGTTGACGTAGTCGATGTGGGTGATGTCGATGACGAGGGCATCTTGGAGGGCGGAGTATCCGAGGAAGCTGTGCAATGTAAGTTACTTTGAACTCACCGAGGGCAGGTTTGGAGATGTCGAATGCTTACTGGTGACCACCGGTTCTGGGGACTGCTTTGATGCCACTCGTCTTTGCGCATTGGATCAAGGGTGCAACTTCATATGGCTTTTCTGCGTAAGCAATCAACACTGGCATCTGTGTAAACCTGTTGACCATATGGTAAGCACTGTGTCCTGAACTTTGAGGCAGTATACCGGTCTCACTGGATGGCCTCTCCGATTCTCGCATCGTGGTAAGTAGGATCAGTCGGTGTCACGATGCGCAGAGCCGCGTTCCCTCCAAAGACCTCCTCCACACATGATTTGAGGGCGTCTCTTTTGATCCGAGGTGCGGCAAGGACTGCATGCGCAGAAAACGCAGCGAGGAGAAGTGACAGCTGCATGGCGAGGAGCTATGGCGGGTTGGCTGATTCGTTGACGAGGAGGATGGTCTGTGGTTGCTGGTAGGGCAGGAAGGAGTTCTTCCGGAAGGTCGCGGGTGACTGTTAAATACATTGCGGCGATGATCTTTTGGACCCCCTTCTCCCCTGCTTCGCAGACCACAAAATCGAGGATATGTACAGCCCTCTTTCCTCCGTCTTGGTCCTTAGTTGGCAAAAGTATAATACGAAGCACAATCGGTCGATAGTCAAACGAGACGCCAAGGATTAGATTAGCGAAATGGACTTCCAAGAACAAAGTCCGGCTTGGGTGAGAGTGGCTATGATATGTTGGATGCTGTTACCTAGGCTCCTCCGCTAGGAGACGGATGGGAGCCCCGGGGTGGATCCCGCCGCAACGGCCGGTGGTAAGATCTGATTGGCTGAGAAGGCACAGCCTCCGTCCGAGTCAACACGGAAGACTCCGGAGAACATCGGAAGTATGCTTTGTAAAAGAAGAACAGCCAGCAGCTCTTGACTGGCTTGACTCTTGATTTCGGTGGCTCTTTAAATCGTGAAATAGGCCAGGATACCTCGAGCGAGCAACCGCATAATCCAACATTTCGGCGATCGGCACTCTATGTTGGCATGATAAGATCACCAGACAGCACAAAAGGATCGTGTCAACATTAGTCTTAATTTCGTCGAGGCTTTTGCAATCACGTCAATTTTAAGATAAGAGTTTACGGTATGCGAAGAGAAGAAAAAGGGCAGAAAGGCGGGCTGGCAGTATCTAGATAGTTTCCCAATCGCCTGAAGAGACTCGTTGATCTGAGCATAGAGTGTACTTCAACACGTCAAACTGAGCATAGGGTGCATAAAAGCGATCGATGGATCTAGGTTTCGCTGCGATTTTGATGCGAAACCTCTCAAAGCTTCTTTCACTTATCTCCAGACCACTGGCCTTACCAGTATCTCATTTTAGGTGAGCCTACCAACTATGCGTGCGTTCAGAGGGCCCTTCAGTAATAGCAAGAAGTGAAAGCCCACAATACTCAGAATGAAAGTAAACCATGAGTTGTCAGAGTATAAGAATGGGAACCATCAGAATTAGACGATAACATGGGCGAAGACAGCTTTTGCCAAAGAGACCAGTGTCGCTACGCGATGGCGCCAGGAATTGGGTTAGGACTGGAGGCTTTATCGTCGAAAATATATTCTGGGTCGACCCTCATCCTCCATTTGAAAGAAGTAGACATATCCACTCAAATTGTCACGCGACATCGACAGGGTAAGAGCAGTTCTATAGTCCGTTTGCGTATGTTCACGGCACAGCAATCCACCTGAACCTTCGGAGAGGGCATTGCATGACGTACGCCACCGGGATTCGACGGTGAAATAAAGTGAACCGTCGTCCTGAGTGATGTTCTAGAAGCTCTCAATGCGACATCTGTTGCATCGTGCAACCGCAAATTCCAAGGGGAAGAGTACTTGGCCAAATGTGATGCAGACAATATACGAGAAACATCCAACTAGCATGTTTACCTCCGACGAAGCCAAGCCATCAAAAAGCTTCCGGCGGAGTCCTCTCTTACGCGTTTGAACAATTATCAAACGATTCTTTGCTAAAAGCGATCGGCGGAACGCTAGCAGCATGGGTCTTATGAGATCGAGATGTCCAAGGCGCAGGCGGACCTTGGCCGCGCACCCATGACTCCTCAAGCTCTCTCCGTAGTCCGAACCCAGGGAAGAGGAGCCCAACTTCGTGAAATCCATATGTGAAAGTGATTCCATTGAGTTAGGCTTCATCCATGCCATGCTCGAGGATCGGCGGAGTCAGGCGCTCGCGATCTCCGACGGGCTGAAGCATATCGACGAGGAGATAATGGGAGTCACATCTGACTGCTCCCGCAAATCCTCAAGCTGAAATAGGCATGTGCAGGATCTTCAAGTCACGGGATTTTAAGCTTGACGCAAAGAATATCTTAGAGTATTCATGCATGAGCCACTTCAAGCCACAGTTTCGATGGAGCGGCTCATACCCCAGATCGACGAGGCTAAATCATCCCTTGAGCCCAACGCCTGGACATCACCGCATTCCGAGGCCTTTCGGAGGGACGTTTTGTTTACCCACCGGAGCAAGAAAATCGACCTTCACCGACAAGTCAACATGTTTCGGGTGGCCTTGGCTACGCGATGGAGTTCATCTCAACATCCACCACGAAGGTAATTGTTGTTTTGTTGTTGTCTCGTTGGCTTCGGACGGACCTCCGCCGTCGGGCATCTCTTAGTGTTCATGGAGATTGGTAATTTGCTGAACTTAAGAAAGACTCGTGCCCTCCAGATCCTTTTTCCTGGATGAGTCCACCAATATTTCTCGTTATTTTCTCTCTTCGAGTGTATCCGCGAGCTCGTCTGGCTCATACACCAGTCACACTCGTTTCTCCGCCGGTCCAGTCGTCGTTCACTCCTCGAATGATGTTGATTCTTCCAGCACTGTTGGTCGCAGTAATACTTCTAGCAAGATGGTATTCCAAGCCTAGGACGATCCCCGCCTACAAAGGCGAGGGCTTCTTCTCCTTCCTCAGCGACGCCCACGACTACGCAGTCAAGCCCATCTCGCTCATCCGTCGAGCTCAATCCCAATGCGGTAATATCTTCTCGATTCAGATCCTAACGGTCCACAATGTCTGGCTTCGTGGAAATGAGCTCAACAAGGCTTATCTCGACATGCCCGAGAAGGCTTGGTCTTTCGGCCACGGAATGGTGAGGTCACCCTTCTCCCAGATAAGCCACCTCAACCCCAGATTTTGAGACATTTAGAAAAGTAGGACTTGTCTCAACTCATATGTGATTGTTAGGGAATATTTCTCAACAAGATACTCGACCCTGGATACATGGATAACATCAGGGTCATGGTCGGCTCCCTCAGCCGGTACATCAACCGCGCCACGGCTCAGGCGCACATGGCCAAGTGTACCGTGGAGGAGACGCACCGCTGCGCACTTGAGTGGACGACCAAGACCGATGTGGAGCTCTTTGACGGCGTGTCCGAATTGACGCACAAGGTCATTGTCAGAACGTTGATGGGCGATGACTTTTACAAGTCGAGCGAAGAGCTCTTGGGCTTATTGCACGCGATGGAGTCCGATATTGGCAGCATCTGGTCCTTTGTGCTGCCCGACTGGGTGCCTCACCCCCCGGCGAGGAGGTTGCATCGCGCTCGTGAGCGCGTGAAGGAGATCTTTTGGGAAAAGCTTAGCCAGCGACACGTCGCGGCGAAGAATGGTGACCTCGAGACTGACCTGCCGGACTACATCACGCACACGCTGCACGAACAGAGCATGGCGCCTTTGAGGCACTTTCTTCCTTCTCATCACACTGTTTTGATGTTTGCTGCTCACACTTCCACAGTCGCTGCGATCTCGTGGGTCGTGGTATGCGTACGTATAGTCTTCATCTCTTCACGTGAATGAGCAGCAAAACTAACAAACGCCTCAGCTTTTACGCCATCCCGATGTCATGGCAGCCGTGAAGAGAGATGCCCGTAACGGAAATACAGACTCGGCGCTTCTACAGGCCTGTATCAAGGAGACGATGCGCTACTATGCAGGCATGAAGTGCCTCCGTCTCGCGATGCAGGAAGTGCCTGTCCCAGGTACGGATATTATCGTGCCAAAGGGCTCAGTCGTGTCCATCTCGCCCTACTTGACGCACCACGACCCCGCCAATTATCCGAACCCGGACACCTGGATGCCCGGACGTTGGCTCAATGCCGAGAACAAGCTTGTTAACCTCGAAGAAAAGGACGGCAACAGTGTGAAGAGTATGCTATTTGGCGGCGGCAGCCATCGATGTCCAGGGGAGAAGATGGCCATGATCATTGTGACGCAGACCTTAACGACGCTGTTGCGGTCCTACGATGTTACCTGGGCTTCGCCGGACCAGCCTCGGACTGTTGACTTTGAAGACCTCGATTTTGACAAGGTTGGCTCCCCTTGGCTGAAGGTAGGCCGTCCAATAGTCTCGGAGACATCTAGGTCGCTTTGCTGACATCTTATCAGGGTGACTTGAAAGTGAAGGTTTCTAGGAGAAAGTGGCCCGAGATTATGGCGGGATGTTGAGATTATTGTAGTGTACGACGGTTATATGAGTAGAATTAGTAGTCCACCATAATGAGCGATGGGCATTTGGCATTATTGGAATAGAGAATCAATGAAGTTATGATCATTAGACCTCTCTGTAAGCTGGAAATCACCGTTGCGAACACTGTATCATAAAATATGTCTCCTACTTGTGCCTCGTTCGCACCCGGATCAGACGCTCTACTTGGGGGCTGGATACGAATGAATTATGTTTATCGTCGGCCGGTGTGCGCCATTGACACTCTTGATCTGCCGACGACATTACATACTCTTAGCACTCGTGATCACCAAGCTTCGCCGAGTAAAATTGAGTTCGGTCATATTTCAGCGTTACACGAATGCAACGTAGTTTAAACTTCTGGAACATTGACCTGCCTGTCAGCAGAAAATCTCCGTGGAGGAGGAGACATGCATCCAGATGGGGGCGGAGGCCAGTCCTCTTTCATCCGGAAGAAGCAGGGATTGGGGAGTCTAAGCGTGCCTCTATACCTCCGCGAGCTTAAGCAATATGTCGGAGAGGGGCACGGAGATGGAGAATGTAAACAAAGACTGCAGCTCTTTTGGACGTTCGTTGTTTACTTTCTGCTGGCTCCTCCTTCCGATCGAGATTCGCAATGCTTCGACCAAGCCTTGTTGCGCAGCCGCCAAGCCATATAATCCCATCAACTGCCCCGCCGCTAGGAGCTAAGATGAGGACTACGTCAATGAGGCATGAAAAAAAGAAACACGTTTTAGAAAGATGACTTGCTCCCCGAATTCCTACACGCACGGTAATGATGGTGATGTTGAGCATTATGAATAGCTTCAGGATAAAGTTAATGCAGTTTTGTGAGCTACTAGAGTAAATGCCTAAGATATGTCTAATTTACCGACGCACCAATACAATTCGACCCGTAGATGAAATCAACTCCAAACGCCCTCAATGATGCCGCCAATAACACCGTAAATCACATTGCCATCCATCGCTTTCAATGCATGCGCGCCTTAAAGCACAAATTCCAACAGTAAACAAAAACAAGTAATGAAGCCGCCAGGACTTCAACCAGGAAGGCAATCTCCAAAATGCCATGATCATGCCAGACCCTGCAAACACTTTCTGAAAATACCGCTCAGCTCGCCCACGTGCTGTGGCTCGAACGCGCCATCGTGATCGCCGCTGAAGGGCACCGTCTCAAACTTGGCAAACTTGTCCGCCTCCCAGCACATGGCCTTCTCGCGCATGACGGAGCGGACAAAGATGACGCCCTCGCGCTCACGCTGGGTCAGGTTGGGGTCGTCGAACGGGTCGGGCTTGCACTTGATGAGGACGGTGTGGAAGTCGGAGACGCCGTCTTTGGGGAGTAACTGGCCCGGCTCGACGGTCGATATGAGACCGAGGCCTTTGTGGATGTGCTTCTTGATCTTTTGTAGAAAGTCGCGGACCTGATCCGGCTCGTTGTCGTCGTCCAATTCTTCGTCCTCGTCGCCTTCTTCTCCATCTTCGTGTTTGGCGACCTCGAGGTTGTGGGCTGCTGTCAGGATCTCGGCGTCGATTTGATCCTCGGTAGGAAAGTCTTCCAGCATTCGATTTTGCTCGGGGCAGTATTCTGATCCGGCGTCACTGCTGCAAGCTGGTGACCCAGGAGTACTCGGGGACCAAGCCGGGCTATCGTCTTCGTAATCGCTCGAAGTGCTGCTGGAGTATGAGACCTCTGTTGTAAAGGTTCCCCATGTACTCGTTCGGTTCTCGCTAGGGGTCAGGTAGTCTCCGAACTCGCTCTCGCTGATGACGGGCGACCCGATGGGAGAACAGTCGGCGTCCATCAGTCTGATGTCGGCAGCAACGGTCCTGGTAAAGGTGAGGTGGGTGAGAGAGCGGTGATCCTTGGCGCTGGGGAACGAGGGGAAGGTCTCTGGGTTGGCCGAGTCGAGCATGATTACCTTTGTAACCTTTTCTCCCTGGTCGCGCAGAACCATAGCCATGTTCATGGCGATCATACCGCCCATTGACCATCCTCCTAATAAGTAAGGGCCCATTGGCTGGACTTCTTTGATCTTCTCGACGTAGAGTGCAGCGAGATCTCGCAATGTTTCGGGAAATTCAAAGTCATCGCCTCCAGGGCAATGCATAGGGGAAGTAATGCCGTATACTGGCCTCTCATCGTCTTCGCTAAGAGCTTCGAGGCGGAGAAAGGGTAGTGCGAGCCCTGAGATGGCGTGGCACATGAAAAATGGTGTAAGGTGGGAGTCTTCGTCTCCTTGGAGAAGAGTGATGACCTCCATGTTGGTAATAGCGATGCGGATAAATGTAAGTAATATGATGAGATGAGTAAGAGACGGTAGTTGTCGTGATCTTAGCGAAAGCAGAGAGTAATTAGTCTTGGCAAAAAGCTGGGCTTTGGTGAGTAAAAGTAAAATATCTTTTGATTTTGAATGAGGCCGGTCAACCGGCGAGATGCTCACGAGAACCTTTGACGACCGAATGCGCCGAGAAGCTTGTTGATGACCTTCTGGAAGCACTTTTCAGCCTCCTCGAAGACCAAGTCTTATATCGAACATTGCAAACTGAATCTGTGATGGCAAAAAGTTGCAAACCGTGATGCAAAGTGGCGATGAACTCTCACGACCGAGATGACGATGTCAGCCTCCAGCCGTGTTGGATGGTGTTCCAGAGAAGATTCATCTCGTAGCCTTGAAGCGTGGAACCGCTCCGATAGTAACAAAAGATGCTAAGGAGATGGCACGGATACCCAAAGGACCACTTCCAGGCGCCATCCGCTTCTCCTTTAGAGTCACCGGAGGTTCTCCATGGAACACTGGACGACCACGGCGGTGACTAGGAGGGCCAGCGCGTGGCGAGTGATTGATCCGCAGCCGTTGAAACGACAGAAGGCTGTTCCCCAGATGCTCCTTAGTGTCCTGCGTTGATGAAGTTAACCATGGCATCGGTCTTCGGAAAACTTCATGAGCGCGACGCACACGAGCGTTGACAGCTAGATTGGATCGAGATCCGTGGTAGGGGTTCCTGTTTGATGTCGTGTGCTACCATGACGACATCGCGACAACAACAGTAGTCTCGAAAGAGATGCGGGGGTGTGTCTCCGGCAGTGGAACCTCGTCCCAGATTGTCGGGTATGCGGCAACTTTGGTGAAGTCGTTTACTACTCCTGTTCATTTCTTCCTTCGTCCCCATGATTCTGACCGCACATATGTCGTTAGGCTTCACTCACATTCAAAACAAAGAGACATGGAGAACCCAGACGAGATGCAAGACGAGTGCTGTCGATCTCACGGAGACCAAGTGTGGCTTGGCCACTAGTCACTCCGCAAAAATAAACCTTCTTGTTCTCCCGAATTGGAGTTTTGTTCAATGACACTGAAGCCTCCGAGAGGGGACGGAAACGGAGATCAGGGCCACGCTGACTGCCAGACTTCCTCGGGACCACCTCCGAAGAGAGGAAATGCTTAAGAAGGAGGACCTGATCGCAGTCTTGTGGCATTTTCAAACTCATCAGCTCACTCCTTTCCCTCACCCATTTCTCGTAATAGACCTTCATCCTCCTGCCAAGCGCTTGCTCCGAGATCCATCCCATAACATCGACAAGATGCAGCTCTCCAAGTTTGCAGTACTGCTGCCACTCTTGGCCGGCTCTACTGAAGCAGGCAAGATGAGGGCCCCTCGCAGCTGGGCCGCCGATCGTTTCGATATGCAACTCACCTGGAACCAGTTCGGTTTCCTCTCCCACCAGAAAATCGGTAACCCTCCTCAGGAAATCCCCATCTTTGTGGACTGGACCTGGATCAGCCAGTACATCCTCTCGCCCAAGTGCTACGGAGAAGAAAACGACCCCGCGGCCTGCCTCAACGCGCAGCAGCTCTACTACGACCCGGCCAAGTCGACATCTCACCGAGACGCATCTAAGCGTTTTCCTAGCCGCACTTGGCTGCCCAACCACTTCTTCTTCTGGGAGCCTCTCACGGTAGACTATGCGCAAGATGCTGTCCAGATCGGCCCGGTGACTTCAAACTCCATCATGCAGTTCTCTGATACCAACTTTGATCTCTCTGCTTTCCCGTACCCCTTCACTGGAGTTTTGGGTCTCTCTCCTGTTTTCAAGGGTGACAATGGTACGCGATCAAGAGTTGTAGATGAAGCTTCTCATATGACACTTTGAACTGACTCGTTTCCAGCTTCTTTCCAGTCGCCATTCTACCAGCAGTGGAAGGCCGGCCAATGGAAGAACCCGACCATCAGCTTCGTCTACTGCTACGAAGAGTCCATGAAACCCACCTGCGGTGGCAGCGACGGCCTCCAGTCCTTTGGCGGCATCATGGACCAGGTCGTCAAGGACAGCGAGATTTACTGGTACGCAAACTACGTCTTCCCCGACGTCAACACGCTTGCCTTTGAGTACTCTCCGGGTTTGTACAACTACTGGGCCACGCCCCTCGACTCGCTCTGGATCGGCGACGAGCTGCAGCCCACGGAACCCACGTCCAACAGCTCGGGCAAAGCTTCCATCTTCGACCACGCCTCGTACGGGCGCGGCATCCCACTGACCCCCAACGCGTACGACAAGCTCGTCAACCTGACGGGCGGCCAGCCGCTCACGCTCGAGGACCCCACCATCATCAATAACGGCAACCAGTCCATGTACTCCGTCGACTGCGGCAACGTCGCCTCGTTCCCCACCGTGAGCTACAAGTTTGCTGGACACGACAAGGTCTGGACCAACACGCCGAAGCACTACGTCGAGACGCTGCCGGACGGGAGGTGCGCTCTGAATGTGCGCGCCATGGCGACCGGCGACAGGTTCATTGGAAACTTTGGCGAGACGTTCTTCAAGGACAAGGTCGCTATTATGGTATGTTTCGCCATATTATTCCGTCAGTGACGATGTCCGTGGTACTAACGGTTGCTCCAGAACTTTGAGACCCTTCAGGTCGGTATCGCTGAGATCCAGTGGTAGGCAATCCAGTCTGTGTCATATTCGACTGCTCGTGGGATTGACGAAGTCAGGCCCTCGGCATAAGGTACTCCTGAAGGCCATGGGGTCACCTCAGGACTAATGAATCGAACCCTCGGGTCTCGCGTGGGAGTGAGTGCTAGAAAGCATATTTGTGGAGTAACGGCGTAGAATATCCAGATTTGTAGAGGTGTGACCCAATAATACTCAGAAACGGGTTGTTCTTTTCGCGATATCTTGGTCGTTTCCTCAAGGATGGATCGTGCATGCCCCTACACAGCAGTGTATCTGGGAGATTCCTGGTGGCTTGAGGGAGATCTCTGCTCAAAGCGGCATTGGGGCTTATTCAAGAAGCGAGCAGGCACCGACTGTTTCTAATTTCGGAACTGCCGGATCCATGTGGGAATCTATCCGGAAAGAGTGGATCCCGGCCCGGCCCCGAACGGGAGTCGCCTTTTTGGGTTCCTGGGGGGCTGGCTTTCCCATCCCCTAAGTTGATCTCCAATGTTCGTGTACATTGCCTTACGGAATACGGCGTTGTTTTCGAATTATTACAAAGTTCCTTCGGTTTAGAATGATCACTGTAACCATAATCATCAGTGGCTTTCCATCGAAGTTCGCAGTCACTGTGCCGCTTGCTGGAGCACTGCCTCATCCTCCTAACGCCTCTACAACCACGAAAAGCGACAGCGCTAAGTAAACAATTCAGTGTCTCTTGGAAATAGCAATGGTTTGGTAGATTAAGATATTTGAGTAGGAAAACATTGTCGCAGCACAAGAAATTGGTTGAAGTTGCGATGGAGAGTCGTGTTTGACACCTGGAACCCCTCAAGGAAGTAGTTGAGAGGTGTCTAAAGCGATTAATGAGACTCGAGGCAAACCTGACTGCTATTGCTACAAAGAGGTTCTTTTGAATGTACTGCTATATCTGATCATATATGACTTACCAGGACCGGACTCGAGAGTTGTTTGGTTTAGCATCGTCAATTTCTAGGGCAAGTAGACTAAAATCAGAACAGAAGTAATCAAGGCAGCAGGGGAATTTTAATCTCCAGTAAAATGGGGAATTTCCAAGCTCGTTTGATTAGGGAATTTCGTCACTAGTGTGATGCGGCACTCTTAGCAGTTTCCGGCACGAGAGTTGAAGAACATGACTTAATGCCTGTTTTGATATTTACGTGTTCCCCAGCACCTCCGCGTACCCCTCGAACTAACGGACCGGCCGCCGCTGAAGTCCTGTCCGGAACGGTGCGGCACAGCCCCCGGAGCCGGAATCCACATCGCAGTCCACCAAGTCTAATAAAGAACAGACCCGGCCGGCCTAAGCCTTAAAACCTTTCGTCTTAGCTCTTAGCCCATCTTTTTCGTCGATTATTCCGCTCCAAGACGGCCGGGGCACCTGGGTAGTTGAATGCCGAAGGAACGCGGATAAACAGTGGCGTCTCTATCCTATGATTGGATCTCACCGCGATCTTTCGAGACACGTTGAGTGAATAATACATAAGACGCCTCTCAACTGCCATGAAAACCGATGGAACTCCACTGCTCATATAGAAACCCATCATCCTTCGTTCGGCCCGACACTATCGGGGAAGCGCCAAACAGGCAACTCAGACATCATCATCATCCTCTCGAGGGGGAACGTTACATACCTAAGTCCCGCATCCTTCCCCATTCTCAACCATGTCATCATCTCCAGTCGACGCCGAGGTCCTCATCGTCGGTGCCGGCATCGGCGGTCTCACGCTGGCAGCCATCCTCTCGCGCCTCGACATCTCGTGCAAGGTCCTCGAGCGAAGCGACGTGCTGCGCCCCGTCGGCGCGGGCATTTCGCTCTCGCCCAACGGCCTCCGCATGCTCGATCAACTCGGCGTGTATGAGAAAGTGCTGGAAGCGGGCCAGAAGCTGCGGAAAGTGCAAATCTGGCGCGGTAATAAGCTCTGGAATACGGTGGACTGGGCGGGCTGCGAGGTCAAGTTCGGGTATCCGGTCATGTCCTTGGAGCGTCACCACTTTCACAGACTACTCTTTGATGCTGCGGGAGGCGATGATGTCGTGCAGTTCGGCACAAAGATTGTTGATGTCATTGACGATCCGAGCGAGTCCTTCGTCAGGGTGTTCTCTGACGAGGGGAAAGAGTTCCGGGCTCACGTCGTTGTCGGTGCTGATGGGATACGGTCTGTTATCCGGAGATGCCTGGCTCGAGACGCTGGCCTCAAGGAGGCCAACACCATCAAGTTTACAGGGCGTGTCCACATGAGTGGCATCACCGCTCCGCTGGAGCATCTTAGCACTCAGGACCTCGGTGTCGCCAACTGGATGCTCTACGAAAACTCGACTCTCACAACTTGGCCATGCCCCGACAACCGACAATGGTTCATCGGCGTCACGGTACGAAAAGTCCTCCGTACTCCTGCGCATGCCGGTAGGGGTGACCCTCAGCTAATCTTGGCAACGAAACAGAAAACCGACGAGAAGGTTGATAATGATCGGTCTATCTGGAGCAACTGTGACGAAGACACCATCAATTCAGTTTACGGAGACAAGTTCCACCCGTTCGCGGAGAAAGGAGAGTTTAGAGATAGTAAGTCAGAGAGCTGAATCCCTCCCATTTCGCTGACGACATTGCCGGGTGGCTTGAAGGAACGCCCAAATCTGACGTGTTATTGTTCTAGTTGTCGAAAAGAACGAGCGTATCCTTGCCTGCAATATGTTCCAAGAAGTTGAGTTCCCTTCAATGGCCCGAGGCAGAGTCTGTCTTATCGGCGACTGTAAGTTCTTCCTCTTCTGTCTTCCCTATCATTCCATGACCTTTCTCATCAAAGGTTGTTTGTGATGGAGGATTGAACCCGCTGACTGGTTCCAACAGCCGCGCACAGCATGACCAGTGCCTTGTACGTATTTGCGGAAACGCGCGCGCCCCTCTCAAAATCCCTCCGTTGCAGATCACGGAGTCTAGTCTGGAAGCTAAGCATCTAGCTTGGGGCTGCTCCCCCGGGAAAGGCTTTCCCAATCATTCCTCTCCCTAGTTCCAACGGCATTTTACTGACTTTTGGCAACTTTCTTGAACAGTGGCCAGGGCGGAAACCTAGCGTGAGTTTCCCCATGCTTGAGATCGAGATTGAGACGCGAATGTGATTGAAGATGCTAATCCGAGGTGTTTCCAAACGCAGAATTGAAGATGCGGCGGTTCTGGCTAGCTTGATCCAGGAAAATCGAGGGTCTTTGGAGCAGAAAGTAGAACCAATCCTCCAAAAGTACAGCCAGATGCGAGAAAAGAGGGCAAAAGAAGTGGTCAAGTTCAGTTTCCGCTTTATTCTACTACACGGAGCCTTTCTACCCTACGGCATTGGACCGTTGCTGCGGTGGTTGATCTATGCTTTTCTGCCCGGCGGCGCCTGGCTATGGTTTCTCGAGTTTCTGTATGGGTTCCAACCCACTGTACCACATTTAGACTTTGCATCGACAAAGACATGAGTGAGAGAAGAACGTTTATTATTCTGCCTAGCTCGTATGGGTCTATCTCTTTTGGGAATGCAGTTGTTCAAGATTGATGTTTCACTCATTCTGGAGTAATCGCCCGAAAGTTCTATTACGAATAGCTGTTGGATCGGATTCAGCGGGTGCCTGGAGGGGAAAGACAAGACACACAGCCACGGGCGGGCTCACAAAGTCGGTCTTTTCTTGTCTTTCGCGCTGCGTGGGGGGGAACAGGGATATCGTTCGAGGGGCAAGGGTTTCAGTTACACTAGGACTATTCTGGCTGGATAACGACTTTGACTTGCAGGACTACCCGTGAATACACGCAGTTGCAAAAGGACTCTTGTCGCTGCCTCAAAGTAGTCGTGTACCTCCGCGCTTGTTGTTGTTGTGCAGCTTCTTGCATAACTTGAGGGCGGCGCAGCAAGCGCGACAAGGTCGGCTAACTCGTCTTGGAGTCGGACTCGAGTTGCCGACTTTTGGCCCCCAAGACTAGTAAGATTGAGGCAGAGTAAGTCGGGTACATGTAAACATGTGCGAAGTCGAAAAGCCCGTCCCACAACCACAACCACACAATGTCCAAACCTGATGGGCTTTTGCTGATGGGAGTAAAATTTACATGTACATTGTCAGTTTCCCAAAGTCGCACCCCATGGTCAACCACAAAACACCCCCCTTCTTACATCAACACCTCCTCCGTTGACTGTTCACCCCCCTCGAAGCCTCCCCGACACTGTGCATTCTAACCCCAGTTTGCATCCTTCAACGGTACCTTGCCTCGTCTCATCTTATTCCAACACTGGCTTACGCTGCAGACTGAAGTTATAACATCTCAAAGAAACCACCAACCACGACAATGGACCATGTTGGTATCAGACTTTGCCACTGCAGACGAAAGGGTTGAAGAAGACGAGTGACGCAGCTTTTCAAGACTCCCTCATTTCTACTTCAAGCCTTTCAAGCCTCCCTCATCTATCCAGACTACCACCAATCGTAGTCGGCGGCGGCTCAACCCAATAACCCACCGTCTATCTCTCGCTTTCCTCCTGCATTGGTATCGATATACTATTGTACAAATAGAACCAATGTGTATTGTATAATATCGTTTCCCTCTTTCTTTATCAACTCCCAAAACCTAGACAACTATACCCCATCATGTCTCTCACATCCCGACACCCGCTCCGCAAGAGCTGCAGCTTCTGCCGCGCACGCAAGATCAAGTGCAGCAACGAGACCATCTGCGAAGCCTGCCGCAAGCAAAATGTCGACTGCGTCTACGACTGGGACTCGCGGCCGCCAAAGACCCGCACCGTATCCCAAGACATGAGCAGAAACAACAGCACCGGCGGCGACAGCACCGGCGTCCCTGTACAACAGCGCCAGCGAGCCTCAACGGGTGGTTCGCCGCATTCCACGACCATTATGGAGGAGCCTGCACAGATGGAGGGTACCGGTGGTGCGGCGCCCGTGGCCCTCATGGGCGGCGGCGAAGACGTGGCTACCATGCTCAACAGCATGTTTATCGAAAACTTTGGCGAGAACCCGACGCCTGGACCCAAGTCGAACCCGTGGCAGGAGAGGATATCGGCGTACAACCAGACTCTGCGCTTGACTTTACAGGATCGTAGCGAGAATGTTGTCAACTCGAAGTTTAGTCATCGGGATGTCAAGGTATGGGTCCAAGACTCCCTTCTGGATTGCACGAAGCTAACTTGACTCAAGTACACCGGCATCTTGCAGCTTCTCACTCACGACTTAGTCGGTCTTGTAGTTGATAAGTTTGGCGGGTTGGGGTCCATCTTCATGGAACAGGGCGGCGGTAGATTCTATCTCACAGGACTCGCGAGCGACGCCACACCATCAATGTTCGATACAACACCGACAGGACCAAGCCCCTTGACCGACTACGGCACTCGACAGATTGGACAGCTGGTCGACGTGTGGTACAGCGTCCACCCTCTCTCCTTCCTCGTTTCCAAGACCCTTCTTCTTCGCGAACTGAGAGACGGCACACACGACGAGGTCCTTCTGGCAGTGATCCTCGCCGACGCCTCCTTCTCTCTCGGTGACGAAGTTGCCATGGCACGAGGACACGTCCTCCTCCGGTGGGCCTCAGCTCAACTCCAGAACCGTCCCATCTCGACCCGGGTCAGCCAACCGGGCATGCCCGGCGCCGGCATCTCTCTCCCCGGCATCAGCACGGCACAGGTCCTCATGCTCCTCGGCTGGAACAGCCTCTGCCAAGGGCAGATCAAGCGCGCCACGTGCTACATCGGTCTCTCCGGCCGCCTGGCGACCGAGATCAAGGACACCATTTCGGCTTCCTCGGCGCCCCTGACGACGAGCCGCATCAACGGCATCGACGTCTGCGAGGTCGAAAAGGAGATCGTCGCCTACCTCTACTGGACGACCTACACCCTCACCCTCTGGACCTTTTTGCAAATGGGCACCCACTTCTCGCAGCTCCTCCCAACGAGCCTCACCTCCATCTTCCTTCCCGTTGACGAGACCTCGTCCGTGCTGATGCGTCTGGACGAGGTCTCAGACAACTTCTCCACGCTGCAGAAGCAGAAGAGCATGATCAAGGAGATGTGGCCTCTCGCCCACATCGCCTCCATCACGGCCTACATCTTCGCCCTCTACCCGCAGGAGCCCGACCCCAACGAGACGGTTAGCACCAACTTCTGGCAGGAGGCGCCCCTGCTCGCACTCCAGCGCATCCAGCAGGGCAGCACGCCCCAGGATATGGAGTGCGTCTGCCGCGAGGTCTACCGTGTCCTGATGGAGAGCATCCACCTCCTCAACCGCCAGGTTGCCCACGCGCCCTCCCGCTCCCTCGTGCTGTCAGTGTACCACACCATGGCCATCCACCTCCTCTTCCCGGCCATTCTCCCCGGCGCCCCGCCTCCGGCAGAGCCCTTTTCCCTCACGGCCGAGACCGTCGAGCGCTTCATCGGCTCAGCGCAGGAGCTCGTGGGAATCATGCTTCAGATCGCGGAGCAGACATCGCAAGAAGGCCCCGTCATCATGCCCGCACAAAGCAAAAACTCTTTCCCCGACGTCTTCTGCCTAGCACTAGACACCTGCGCCCGTGGCCTCTCCTTCATCTACGCGCAAAAGCAAGCCGGCGTCCTCAACATGGAGCCGCAAATGATTGCCGTCTACGAAGGCCGCCTCGAAGCCCTGGCATCCCGCCTCCTAGGTATCGCGGCCTCCGACTTCCTCTCCCCCGGCGGTCAGGTCCGCGCCATCAAGAAGCACCTCAAGGCCGTCATGCGCGCGTTCGGCGGCAACGTTAGCAGAAGCAGCAGCAAGAGCAACAGGAACAGCACGGGGAGCGGCATGAGCATCCCGATCAGCATCAGCCACCACACGCGCTCCGACTCGTACGCATCTTCCTCGTCCACCACGACGCACTCCATGTCGCGCCGCAACTCCTCCCTCCCGCATACCCCGCCCCAGCATCACCACGACCACCCGTTCTCGGGGGCCCCGACGGCCGTGGACTCGGCCTCGTCCTTCATCAGCCCCATGGACACGTCCATGATGCCGTCCGTCTCGTCGTCTTCGTCCGCGGACGACTCCATGACCTCGACGAGCGAGCTCGCGACCCCGTTCAACCCTTTCAGCCCCGGAGACAGTCACAGTCACAACAAGCACCAACAGCAACAGCAACAGCATGACTGGCGCGCCGCAGACGAGCTGTTCGCTCACGTCATGGACCCCGCGGCGCTGGGGGCCCCGACGGGGGATCACCACCTCACGCTCGCGGACCTGGTGGACTGCCAGGCTGGCGCGGCGGGCTGGTTCCCTGACCACAGCGGCGGGCAGATGCTCGTCGACTTTGACATGGGGGCGGCGGCCAACTGGGAGTGGCCGTCTGTGAACGACATGGGTGGTGGTGGCGGCGGTCACGATGCGGGGATGACTGCGGCAGCGGCCGCGGTGGGGAGCGACATGGACGCCATGTTTTACAACTATTTCAAGAAATGATGGGGAGGATGTGATGCGTTGGAAGTATCCGTATGCCTTTCCATCTTTCTTGTTTCGTCTTTTCTCATGACTTGATGAAGAATGGTTTTCTTTTCTTTACTCCCCTTGCCATTTTCTTGGTATTTCTTGCATTGGGCTTAAGGGGAGCGAGCCAGACAACACACCCCCTTACTCCCTTGTACAGGATCGATTTCATTTGGGGGTCCCTTGGAACGGGACCGTGTCTTCAACAGCTTCTTCCTTATTCACTGCATAGCTCCCAACTAGACGGGCAGACAGGCAGCCTTCATTCGCCGGCAAGGCATTCTTCCTTTTTTTTCTTGATCTCCTTCTGTTTCACATTCCATGGCTTAGATGGTTTCGGCGGGGTTGGGCATATTGACAACAATTCGGCGTTCAAGAGGTTCCGGGCTTACATTTCTTTCACATCCTATCTTTCTTTCTTTTCTTTCACCTACACAATGTGCTACTTTCTGAGCAAGCAGAACGAATGGGGGACAGCTAGGAAGGAATATGGTACGAAAATTGGAAATGGAGCGAAGAATGAGGGTTGCATTGGCTCGCCATCTGCTGGGAGCGCCAAGGGAAAAAGGCGCTAGGAAGGGCGAGAACCAGAGACAGAACTGTGTGTTGGAATTGGACGGATTGTAGGGCTTGGCAGCTGGAGACATAGTTCAAGACAGCAGCAGCAAGAAATCCAAATCCCAAAGTTTACCTTACTGTGCACCGCGGGCCACTCAGCCCAACGCAACAGACATGCAGTCATTCCTAGTGCAACGTCGGCGAGCAAGGGTCCGAATCCGTTTTGTGGATACCGGGGGGTGGGGGCGGGATGCGGTAGGGATCGTACGGGAGGGAAGTGGATCATCTTGAGTAAGGTGTGCACATATTCCGTAAAGTAAGTACGTATCTTACACGGTGTCAGATCTCTCGGAGGAGAAGAACTGAGATGGTTGGACGGGAAGGATTCGAAGGATTTGGAAGGGGGGGTGGGGGAGAGAAGAGAAGGATTCGGGGCGTGGGGGAAGACTCGCTTCCCTTTGTGGGTTCTGTGTGGTACTTGGCTTGGTTCCTTTTCATTTCTCCCTTTGTGTGTTATGGGAGACACATCTTCTGTGAGCCTATGGAGTTGTAGCCATGGAACATACACACTCAAGCTATAAGCCGTTTGTCATACCAGAAGAAATTCAATACCATTTTGTGACTGATAGAATAGAGTAGATGCTAGATGGAAATTAGGCCAAACTAAGACCCAAAAACAGTGTGCTTCAAACCACGACCCCCAAGATAGAAATATACGGAACTTTCGAAAATTGAGTTTCATAATATTCCGTACTTGTAAACCTAATGCACACCTAATTGGAAGAACCAATACCGATAGTTTAACGTTTGATAGCCCTACGGCAAGCGATGGAAGGCGCGTCTAATCGAGAAGGGTGCGCCACGGCGGTAGTCTCGTCAATCGTATTCATCGTATCAGCCATCCAACAAGCAAGATGCCAAGCACTGCTTATCTAAACGTGAAGGGCACATGAATCATGAAGGTCGTCCTGACCGTGAGATTCCCAAGTCATGTAAGTGAAGGAGCGCCACCGCCGTCACCCGAGCCGGGCTGGTCAGCAACCGGATATGTAGGTAGGCAGGTAAGAAGGGCGGTACTGACCTACACCTCGGGAATCCTGGGGGAGCGAACTTGCAGAAAGAGCCAGCTTTGGAACGGATACGGTAACCGGTGAGCTGTGCTGTTCTCCCCGAGGGCAGGCGGTGCAGTTCATGTTTAGAGGCAATCCGGTATGTGCTTAAACGATCTCTGTTAACCGGGATAGGAATACGATTGACGCAGGCGCGCGGGCGGCTGATGATAGCGGCAATGCTGTACAGCAAGAGACAGGCAGGCAGGTAAGGTTCTTTCGGAGCTCACATCCAGAGATCCGGACGAAAGATTTCTTGAAAGTGGAAAATGAAAGATACGTCTAGTCCCGACAAAGGGCGGCGGTTGGCCATTGCTTCTGCTGATCTCTAGTGACAAGCTTCTGGACAACTGGGTCTTTCCTACTAGCACCCACGTGCTCGAGATGGAACTCTCGCTGGCCAAGGCTCTGATTTTACTGCAGTGACAAAGTCAAACCATTGCTTGGCATTTTGCCTATCAATGCTTGATCCAATCCCTGCACGCTTTATGAGATACCTATGTGTTTTCTTAGCTAGCACTGGAAGTCTCGCAAACTTCGCCACAGATAGACGGAGGAGTTCGTTGCAACTGAATTGGGGGATTTTCGACATGCCCAAGATGATGTGGATGACCCAATTTACCTTAGTATGAGAGCCGCCGATATTTCACCAACGCACCGCCAGGTGCCGGAATCGGCCTTCCTAGTCTCGGCTCCTGAACCACAAGAGGATGATAAGCGTTATCTTTGGCGCGCTGTTTTCCCGACTCTGTTTCTAATTGCCGCGTGGCTGTATCTCATTCCTCCCGCTCACAAGCGCAGGGAGGAAGAGGGAGGAGCACGACGGTTGTGAGAGGATCGCGCGCTTTTCCCCTAGTGGTAAATGCGCGGGAGGGGCAGCCATCCAGAATTGGCTAATTAGGTACGATTCGCGAGGGAGGAGGGCTCCCGTTAGAAACATTGGAGAGTGTTAAGAGGAACCAGAAAATGGATGACGGGTGACCAAGAATTCACCGTAAATACCATGCCGTTTTCTGAATCCTTCCTTCGCAAGCGAGACGGAGAAGGACGTAAACCTGGAAGAAGAACGTGTGTGGCGTGCTTCCTCCCGATGATGTGATTTGTCGCCTAACCGCGCGAAAGCCAATGAGCACCAGGATAGTCGCACAATGAGGAAACTACTGGGGCCCACTCCACGAACGGCTCGCTTCGTGTGCCAGTTTGTTTCTCGACCAGGCAGCACCTTACTTCGCCATTGACTGCAATTGAAGATCTTGTCCTGAAAGACAGCCGAGCTTTTAGTTTCGAGAAACATTTGCCTGATGGCCGAAATCCGCAGAGGCGAGGTGCAGCAGTACCTACCTACTACGTGATCCGCAACTTCCTCAACGGGAAGTGGCCAAGGCAGCCGCGCCGGGTGCCGATGCCGGTCAGAAAGCGGAGCCCGGTCGCGGGTCCGAAGTGGGTCTCTCGCATCAGGCCACCCCCTTCCCCTCCGCCCCTGTTCAGCCACACTCAATTGCAACAACGCAAAGAGAACTTTCGTTCTCATTCAGCATCAAAGGCGAGCTATGTCAGCATCACCCAAAAGCAGACATAGCGAGGCCGCAGATTACACGAATTGCAGCAATCTTCTCTCGTTTTGTTTCAGCATGGATTGATTGCAACGGAGTGAACAACTTACCTTCAATTATTCAGTTACCTCCACGTCCGATAAACACCCCTGCATTATCTCTCACGCCGAGTGGACGATTCGGACTCACGCTCGAAAGAAAGTTTCTGCCTGAACATACCCTAGTCGCCAAGAGGGCCAACCTTGACTTCTGGGCACCCCTCCGTGCCCCGGTTCTGCAAGCAAGGGAGGAAAGCAGAAGGGGACGGGAGGGGCTTTCAAGGTTGCCGCATGCGCATGCACTCAACTGCTTCTGTGGACCAAAGCTTTCAAGAAACTGACGATGTCACGGCGGCCGACCCAGATGGAGAAAGGCAAGAGCCCATCTTGGAGCCGCATGATGTGATAGTCCCCCAAGGTCTTCAGCCTCAGCCCTGGATGCTGGGTGTTCATGATCACCGCTGCATCCAACCAAAGGAGCTGCTGCTATGTACATGCAACTCGACTCAGAGCATCATCAGGCATGACTAGGGGGGGCTTTTGGGGGCACATCGGATTCCTCGGACTCGGTTCTGTTATTGAAAACCCAGGTGCTTAGCAGAAAGGTTTTGAGGAACGGGAAGAAATCCAGCCAATGTGCAACTTCTCAAGTAGAGTAAACCAACACCTACAATGGACCAACGTGCCCTCCGACACTAACAAAACCTTCGCCCCCGTCTCCCGTCTAGATACGGCCGCACCACCTCGGCGGAGGGGAGTCAGTAGCTGGCGATTCTTGTGAAAGAAAGCATTGGAGAGGAGATATCTTCAAACGGAGGAAGGAATTCGTTTCAGCGTCACTAAAACTCTTTAGCGCACTTAAGGCACCATACCGGCATACCTTGGTGATGCTCCCCAGACTCTCATCTCCGTCAATGACGTCGAGCAGGGCCCTCGCCCCCTGATCCCTGATGACTAACCCCAATGGGCCGTGCACATGGATCTATTTCGGGAGATCCCCTCGTCGGCGGGTCCCGTTTTTCCGTCGCTGACATGGAAGGGTCCGGGGGTCCTGTCTGCTCCACCCGCTGGGCAGCAGCGCCCTCACAGTGTTTCCTGCCTCTGCCATCATCTGCGTCCCACGTTTCCTGCCCCCAATTGTTTGACACACAAGGCAAGCCCGTCCAGTCAGTCCACCATTTCCTTCGCCATGACTCCTCATCTCTCCCACCTCGTCGTCACATCCCCCAGCTGCTCACTCTCCCATCCACCGAAGCTCTTAGCATTTGCCGTTTCCATCACCTCACCCCGGACCTTTGCCGCACAGCAGACCACCTGAGTCTTGGCCCTTCACCTGCGGGGTGACCAAGCCCACATCAAAGACGGCCTGATCGAAAAGCCCGTCTTAGGCGACCTACCTTTGTCAGGGTCGCCATGTACGTTGGCTTCTGCAACCCCCAAAGCGCTGAAACGGCCCCCCTTCTGGACTTCGTGCATCGGCTGGGTCATCGGGCCACAGCAGCGCCGTACGCAACAGAATCGAAGCACGCACTATTGCACACGACCTGGGCCGAACAACAATCGTCTGTCTCAATGTCGTGGCATTCCGAGCATTCGACGCCTGATGCCGCGGGGCCAACACCAATCTTCCAAGCCGTTATACGTTCCACAGCAGCGCCGCCACAACGCGGGACAGCCACTTGAGATCGGATGAAAGAAGAGTACGGCCTGAGGCAAGGCCTGGCTTGGGATGAACCAAAGTCCATCCGCAACGAACGCTGGCCACTCAGGCTGCTTATTTCTGCCGCGAAACGGGTTACGAGAACCCTACTTTCAACGTCCACAGCTTACCTCTCCTACCTCCCTTACCTGAGGTAGGTAGGTGTACCCCGGCCACCCAATCCTCCCAGACACGCCGAAATAGTCCAGTCGGATTCCAACAACCTGACAGCCTTCAACAAACAAACTTCTCACCAGCGTAGATCTATATCCTTTACGAGGGTCACAGCAACTCGACCGTCGCAACCGCAACCCAACAGCACCACTGCTCCCATCCTTCACGGTACGCCAGCCGTACCAGCTCAACAACGCACCTGTCGCCTAGTGTCTCCGGCTACTCGGTGGTCCGGCTCTCCCCCTCACACTACATTCCGGAATCTCACCACAGTGCAGTCGTGTAGTGCTTGAGGCACCAAGGTTCTCACCTCATCCCGGGTCGACTTCTTACCCGATACTCCAGACCTCTCACACAAACATATTCGCAAGGGAGCTGAGTCTTCATGCCACCTACTGTCCAAATCGAGAAAGCGCGCGCTCACTCATCTCGCGCCGCCCATCCACGGCTTACGAGAGCACCTCCGCATCACCTCATACCGCTGCTCTCAGGTCCCCGCTCCTTCCTCCCTTTGGATTCGACGCGGCCGGAGACTATCCCAACGATCTTCGGTCCAATGCGGAAAGCATTTCGAAGTAGAGTAAACCTGCACATGATCTCGGGGACGAATCAACAAGAGCCCCTCGCATAGTCTTATTAGGACTTTCGTACTCGGTGATATTTCCAATGCAACATCTCGAAGGATACCTCCGTTCTGAGATTGATGACAACTACAGTTTCACACCTATAGTTCGGGGCCTTTCGACAGTCATACCGGTCAGATGGTGGTCCACCAAAGACAATTCCTCCATCTCCACTGTCTTCGCCTATTGGGGCCGCATTGAGACTCAGGCAGGGTCTTTGCAACTCCTTGACAGCGTAGATCTTTCCCACTCAGTCTTATCAGGCCGAAATCCAAAGTGGCCCCATCTCGCCATCACGGAGAACCCCCGACGTTTCTCGCTGCCTTTGACCATCTCCACCTGGCCCTTGGTACTGAATGATGGTCGACTGCGAGGGCAAGACGCTCACAGCACCGAGCGTTGCCTGTTTCAAACAAGACTCCAACATGCGAATTGGTTACAGTGCAGTCTGGGGGTGCTAAACAGCGTTACATGGCCCCGTCGAACCCAAGAACAAGGCTTAGGCTTGCCCCCCGAGCCTCTGCTCCCAGCGTTCTGGATCGCATGAAGTTCGCTAATGCTACTGCTGCTGCTACTCTTGTCCACAGTTATTCTCGTCTTGCCAAGGCATCTATACTGCAACACAGACTTGAGTGCTGACCCGATCAACCGGATTGTCGCTATACCCCCACTGCAAGTCACATCAACGCCAGAAGCCTCTGTTGACGCGAGAAATCATTCAAAGATGGAGACGAGCCGCCCATAGAGTAAGGAAGCTTCGATCCTCCGGCGCAAGCGTCCAGAAATGGAGACACATCGCCTTGAAGGGCCCCCCGAATGTGACCCTGAGGCGTGTTAGTTTTTCCCTCCAGGCCGCCGGCCAGCTGGCAAATCCTCCCAGTAGAGGATCACAACAACAAGACTTGTCTTCTTGGCACTTGCTTTGCAGATGTGAACCAAGACTAGTCAAAAAACGAAGGAGCCAAGGCCCTCCTTCTCCAGTAGGGATTACCCCCGTAGATCTTTGCAAAGAAACAACAGTCCAGCTATTTTCAGCCATTGACAGTGGCTTGTAAGCGAGCCCCGATTAACAGTACGGATAGCAAGTCCGTAGAGCTGAGCCGATTTGGTGTGGCTGGGGAGATGCGGCTAGTGCCGAGCTGCAGATTGGTCGCTGGGGTGGCCCATGATGGACAACGAGCTAGGGTCTGCTGCCCCTTCAACTGAATCCTCCCTACAGCATACCCCTCAAGTGGATGATAACTATGTGTTATTAAAGCAAGCGATGCTTATAATTCAGTTTACTTGACGCTGTAATCTCTAACGGCCCAGGTGCCGCTATTCTCGATGACCGCTGATGAAAACCATCAATCTCGCCATCGTTCAACCTCGACCTGACTTTGCTTTGAATGCCAATTCAAGTCTACGTTGTAATCGTAGCAATGCCTTCCAAACTGCCGCAAACACCATGTTGGTACAGCCAATGGCCAGCGTCAAATCTGCTAATTGTCCAGCCTGACTGCATGTTTCCCTCCCGGCCAACTCGTACCGCCTCAACTCCACATGGCTTGGTGTATGTAAGTAAGGTCGGCCTCACAATCAGACTGGAACTGTAGAGTTCCTTGTTGCATTTATCGCTGATTGCATACTCCATTTCAATCTTGTCGTCATATGGCGTCCTGGGTGGAATGTTTACCTTGGGCTGGTCCCAGTCTCGAGATGAAAAGCTGCTCATACTGCTGTGCAGACTGCTGCTTGGGTCGCACTCGCTGGACGAATCATAGCTGCTGGTATCACTACCTTCACTGCCGTAAGGCAGCTCCCGGAGAAATATCTCGTTGTCGTGAACTTCCTCACTGACCATCCCCATGAACCATAAGTAAAGAGGTCTTACTTCCGTTGCCAGCTGGTCGGAAGTATCATCGATCTGCTCGTCAATGGAAAGAGAACCGACGCTAATGAGGCGCGGTTTGCGTTTCGGCGGAGATGCGGCGAAGCGCATGCGCAAGGCGTCGAATATATGACAAATGCCTGCTTCGCTGATGTAGACGTCGCACTTGTCGCCCTCCCCTGCTGAGATCTCCTAAGTCCTGAAGCCCCCAATGCCGTAGACAACTGTGTGTACGGGCTCTCCTTGAAGATCCTCTGGGAACAGGACTTCAGCTGCAGTTTCTGGGGTCAAGTCTGCTGTGACAACTGTCATGCGGCCGAGGTATTCCGTTTGAAAGTCATCCGCGTCGTCAAACATCGCCAGGAGACTTGCCTTGCACCTGACATCTGAAGCAGTCAACTCTAAGCATCCACAAGAGGGGAGTGTAGGGCATGAGAGCCTTAAGAAAACACGGAATTTGGGCATGCTATGTCGCGTGTAGACTTGAGAGGTATATCCGTCACTTACACACATGGCAGAATATTGACGTATCCCGAAGAGCATGCATCAGACATCTGAACACGGTGTACCCCGTTGCTCCAAAGAAAGCGACGTGATGCATCTTCCGGTGGATATAGAATGGAAAGGACGACTGGATGCTCAGGTGCAAACCGGGGCCGAATTTGATAGGGTGGTGTGGGATGAAGCTGTATCGGACTTGATCGTTGACCGGTCGGCCAAGGATATTGGAATGATGGCTTGCCATTTTCGCGGGCGTGAAACACTGCAGCAGAGATCCTGCCGCAGAAAAGCCCCGATCTGAGGATTTCATTCGATGTTGTAAGGGCCCGGTAAACAGTGGCGAAGCTATATAGACCCTGGTTGGTGGTGGACGCAAATAGGTGCGGCGGTGATGAGTTCGAGGCACGGTAGCTACGCGAGGACCGCGAGTGTAAAGAAAATAGCCCACGAGAAGACTTATGGAGCTGGCACCAAAGTTTAGAGACGGATGGCGAGCCATGGCAAAGCGAATTGTGGGTTAAGCATACCCGAAACGGATGGGAAGATGGCGATTGACTGCTGGTGGACGGTGATGTGTTGTTGATACGAAGGAAGAGGCACAGCGGGAAAATCTCCAAGAGGCGCACATTAGGTTCGCTCCCACGCTGCTGATTGAGTCTTCCAGCGGACGGAAGGATGAAGCCATCGATATCGGTCCGTTGGAAGGAAGGGCCCCAGTACGATACTCGACCTACTGCTCTAGCAGAGCGTGATTGCAAAGTACTTACCTTGGAAAGCATCACCAACAAAGAGGAGATTTGAAGTTACGGAAGGATGACTGAGCAGGCGGAACCCCGGATAGAATCTGAGCGGTGATCCAAAACGAGAAGCACCATTCCTCACCAAAGCTATAACCGTGAGGTGGTGCCATGCCAGTCAGGAAGCGCTAGGGTCTCCGTAGCTGTCGAGGGGTGTGGCAGGACTAGTCTGGTCTGACCTCGAAATGGAAAGATCGTCGAAGGCGAAGGAAGCATCACACAGAGCAGGGGAGATACCTGCCCTGTCTCAGGTTGTACGCCCTGAATCGAGGTATCTGCACTCCGATGTAAGCGCGGAAGGCTTCTTCTGCGACCATGACCTCGGCGGCGTGGTGGCTTGAGAGAGACACTCGACGCTGGCCGCCTTATGGGTCTGGAGAACGGGTACACGATGTAGGTAGCAAGGTAGCAACGGCGGCCAATGCAGTGCCATGCGGGACGAGTGCGAGAGACACAAAAGCCTTAGACGCAGTGTATGCGGTAATTCGATACACAGCACAGGGCTGAGATGACATGCTGCTATGTCGCCTCGGCTTGGCCTGCAGGTGGAATTCCCTCACAGTGGACTGCGTTCAGCAGCGGAAGCGGTGCAATTTCCCACATTGTCACGTTGTGTTTCAGGTCTTGTCGGTATCAACTGATGACCAAGTTATGGGATTCTAAGCAGAAATTAGTAGTCAAATTTGATTGACAGGGGACATATAACGGAGTTTGGGTGTTCAAAGACCGAATAGAGATGATGGTCGGAGGTGTGGACAGACGAAAAGAGGATGAGGATATTGATCATGTCAGGATGCCATGTGGATTCGGTCCCGAAGAAGGCAAAACGAAGCAAAACGTGTAAATAGTGAAAACCCAAGAGAATAGCATAGTGGAGAAAATGCATGCCAGCAGGAGTCGGGACTTTCATTGTGAGTTGGAACTTGAGGTTATTCTGTTGCCTGCTGGGAGCAGCGGGACGGTGCAGGGCGCGATGAGACGTTGATGCTGCGAAGATGCACCAACAGGCCCGGCTGTGTTCGCTGCCCGCCTCTCCGCCCCAGAAACCCCCTCAAGGTGCTGGGTGCGGGACACTGTATCATTTACTGTGTTCGGGAAGGATTCTGCCTGAGGGGTGAGGAACAAAGAAGCACACCTGGGTGTCGACTTAGTTGGGGCGGAACCTCGGAGCGTGCAAGGGTCGCTTATCGAGCCAATGGAACACAAAGGCCTTCCCCGCTTACTCTGGGTCCACTTATAGCCCCGGTCATCCCAGATCCCGTCCTGACTGCGGCAAGCCACAACACAGCGCCCCAAGAGTCCGCGACTAAGCCGAAGACTCGCCAGTGAAGCAACCAGCTCTGCTTCTCAAATCATCCTCTCACGTTCAGCTTCTCGTATTGTACGGATACGCACGCAGAATGCACGCAGTACCAATTCGCAGCTCAGTCATCATGTCAGACTCGCAGCTATCATCACCCGCTGCATGTCCTCGGCCAAGACGAGACAGCTGAATCAGTAGGCAATCAACACTCAAATGTCTCAACTCGGGGCGGTCAAGTCCGTGAGCTTGGGATTCGTTACCACCCGATTGCGAATCAGATGGGAGACCAGTTCCACGAACCCAGACGAGACAAAGACGAGATGGGACGAAAGCTCAATGCAACTTTGACAACCGCAGCGTCTGTAGTGTAAAGAAGAGATCTGCTAGAGCAAGACACAACGGAAAGCCAAGTTTCTTAATTCTACGCGCCATGGATTGTCTCCGCCTCAGTCAGCATTGCTTGAGCACCTGAGCTGTTCGTTCGACCGACCCTCGCCGATCCTATACATACGTCAATCAATCTCCTCAATTGGCGAATCCAAAGGTCCTTTGGCATAACTTCCCGTTCCACTTGTGCAAATCGTGCAGATACTTTCAGCGACTTCGCCCTTGTACCTCGTATGTACCGTAGGATGAACCCCTGAAAAGCCACCATCTGACAAGGGAAGGATGGGCGGCATGACATCCACACAGACGCTGCCCCGTCCCAAGTCTCCACCTCTCCGAACCTCGTTCAAAGCCATCCCCCGTTTGGGACATCGTCTTTCTTCAATCACTCGTTGCAGAAGCTGTCCTGTATCATTCAAGGCGCGGCTGTGAGGCGCTCTCCGCGATACACGCTCGTCTATTCGTCAGCCCTATCATCTCCGTCTTGCCGCTACACATTGGCATCCGCGCTTCTGCGTTCCGTCTTACCCTTGTGTTTGTTGCCTACCCCTTTGCCATGGGTTCGGCCAGCAATGCCTCCGTCAACATGCACCAGACTGCGCCGCGGCTATCGATGCCTCCACTTGCATCATGAGCACCGAAATAGTAGCCTCCGGAGTCACTCGGAGGCTCACAACTGACCGGAACCTGTCTCCGGACAACTTCGGAAATCTTCAACGCGATACTCTGACTGAGGAGCCGAAAGTGCTCCATTGCGCAGAGACGGCCTTGCATACCTCCAATGGCAGGCACCAATGTCCAGAGGAGCTCCATGGTCGATAGGGGAGCATCAACATCCTCTCTTCAAACATATAAGCTTGGGTTACAGTTCGTCTCAATCTCTTTTCCTCATCACTCTCAACACATCATCTCTCATAGACTCAGTTCGACTCTTCACTTCATGATCTTCAACCAGCAAAGTATCGCAGAGTTCCAGTTTCAGGGTTCTCTCACCTCAACCATTACCTTTTGATTCAGAGCATCCTACTTGTTCGCGGAAGATTCCATTTCTTCCCTTGTCCCTGAACTCAACTCTCGATACTTGATATCAACTTTTCCCCTTCCTGATAGCTGGCCAATTACCTTCAATCACGAAACACAATCGACAATCATCTTTGTCGACCACTTCCTCAGCAGACCAAAGAATCCAGCCAAGCACACCAAGCTCATCTAAATCTAGCTTTTCCAGCTTCGCAACCGATCAAAATGTCTGCCCGAGTCAACGCCACTGAGAATGACCCCACCGTCATCGTCGGCCTTGCTTGCCGAGTCCCTGGCGCTTCCAACCCCAGCAAGCTCTGGGACCACATTGCCGCTCAGCGAGATGTCCAGCGCAAGATGCCCGAGGACCGCTTCAACGTAGACAACTACTGTGAGTGTCTTGATCCTCTCTGAACCAATTCACAGAGACTAACACTGTTCGCAGACCACCCTGATGGCACCCGCAAGGGAACCGTGAGTTGATGACTTCAGACAAGACGCAACATCTGTAGACTAACGCATTGATTCTAGACGAACGCTCGCTTCGGCTACTTCCTTGAGCAGGATATTGCTGAATTCGACAACTCCTTCTTCGGCATTTCTGGAAAGGAAGCCGATGCCATGGACCCTCAGCAACGTCTGTTGCTCGAGGTCGTCTACGAGGCCTTGGAGAACGCTGGTATTACTCTTCAGGACATTAGCGGCTCTCAGACTTCTGTCTTCTGCGGTAGCTTCACCAACGACTATCTTTCCATGACTGGCAAGGACTTGACGGCGAACTACCCCATGTACCACGCCACTGGTACCGGTAACGCCATTCTGTCCAACAGAATCTCGTACTTCTACAACTTGCACGGAACCTCCATCACTCTTGATACCGCCTGCTCGTCTTCTCTTGTCTGCTTCCATCTCGGGTACGTTCGCGATCGTGTGGCTCTCTCTCGTGCTACAGCTAACATGCTTCCTTCCCTAGCAACCAATCGCTGAAGAATGGCGAGGCTGACATCTCCATCGTTGTTGGCTCTGCTCTCCACTTTGACTCCAACATCTACATCACAATGACGGACCTTGGCATGCTGTCTACAGATGGCCGCTGCCGCGCTTTTGATGCTTCAGGAAGCGGCTACGTCCGTGGTGAGGGAATCTGCGCAGCCATCCTCAAGCGCCAGAGCGCCGCTGAGACTGCTGGCGACAACATTCGCGCCATCGTTAGAGCTACTGGGAGCAACCACGACGGCCGAAAGAACGGTATCACTTTGCCCAACAGTGTTGCCCAGGAGGACCTCATTCGTTCTACCTACGAGCAGGCCGGTCTCAACCCGCTGCACACACAATACTTCGAGGCACACGGTACCGGCACTGCCGCAGGTGACCCGATCGAGACCCGTGCCATCGGAGCAGTCTTCTCCCCCGGCCGCAGCAACCCTTTGTACGTCGGCTCCGTCAAGACCAACATTGGTCACCTTGAGGGTGCCTCAGGTCTTGCAGGCCTGATCAAGACTACTCTTGCGCTTGAGAACGGACAGATCCCCCCTAACATGCACTTCAACAACCCGAACCCGAAGATCATGTTCGATGACTGGAAGATCGCTGTTCCTACCAAGATGACTCCTTGGGAGGTGCCAGAGGGTATTGCCCGAAGAGCCTCAATCAACTCTTTCGGCTATGGTGGTACCAATGGACACGTTGTCTTGGAAGAGTACAAGAAGAACGCTGCCCCCAAGACCCGCTCTGTCACGGCCATCGAGAACGGTGTCCACGCTCGCCCGTACCTCGTTCCGCTTACCTCTCACTCCGCCAAGGCTGGTGAGCTCACCGAGGAGACACTGAAGAAGTACCTTGAGCAGGGAGATGTCAACGTCGCCGACCTTTGCTACAGTCTGGCCACGCGCCGCACTCTTCACGGCCAGCGTTCTTTCGTTGTTGCCAATGATTCAGCATCACTAGCCGAGCAGTTGACCATTGCCCGCCCTGCCGCCAAGTGGACTCTGGCCAACAAGTCTTCCCCCAGACTTGGCTTCATCTTCACCGGCCAGGGTGCCCAGTGGTTTGCCATGGGCCGCCAATTGATCGAGGAGAGCCCCCTGTTCCGCCAGAGCCTGAAGCGCTGCGACAGCATTCTTCAGGCGCTCCCCGACAGGCCCGAGTGGTCCATCCTCGAGGAACTCTGCAAGACCAAGGAGACTACTCTTCTTGGCGAGACCCTCTACTCTCAGACCATCTGCACTGCTCTGCAGCTCGCCTTGCTCGAAGTTCTTAAGGCCTGGGGCATCACTCCCTCCGCTGTCGTCGGTCACTCCTCGGGTGAGATGGCCGCTGCCGCTGCTGCCGGTATCTTGACCTTTGAGAACGCCCTCATTGCTGCCTACTACCGCGGTCGCTACATGTCCGCCCCCAATGAGAACGGCAAGCCTGGTGGTATGATGGCTGTCGGCCTCACTGAGGCCAAGGCTCTCGAGGAGCTCAAGCCCTACAAGGGTCGCCTTTGCATCGCCGCTGTCAACTCCCCAAGCACGATGACGATCAGTGGTGACGAGGATGCTATTCTCGAGCTCAAGGACAGCCTTACCGAGAAGAAGGTCTTCGTCCGGCAGCTTATCGTCAAGCAGGCCTTCCACAGCCACCACATGAACGCCTTGGCTGGTGCATACGAGAACGCGCTCAAGAACTGCAAGACCTTCACTACCCAGAAGCCTACTTGCCGCATGTTCTCCAGCGTCACCTCTCGCCTGGCTGACTACGAGTCAATGGGACCCAAGTACTGGGCCACTAACATGACCAACGCTGTCCGCTTCTCTGACGCTCTCACCGGCATTCTTCTCGACGAGGAAGATGAGCAAAATGTTGACGTCCTGATTGAGCTTGGCCCTCACCCTGCCCTGAAGGGCCCTGCTCGCCAGACCACTCAGTCTCTGAAGCTTGACCTGCCTTACATCGGCTCGCTGACTCGTGGTGTTCCCGACTTCGAAGGACTGCTCAACCTTGCCGGTACATTGTTCTCTCTCGGTTACCCTGTCGATCTCATTGCCGCCAACCAAAACTTGAGCCTGGGAGCGGATGGCAGTCTTGTCAAGGTTGACACCGGATCCAAGCTCAACGACCTCCCGACCTACACCTGGGACCACCGCAGATACTGGACCGAAACCCGCTACCTCAAAGAGCACCGTCTTCGCAAGTACCGCCACAGCCTTCTCGGTCACATCATCCCTGGTTCTATCGCCAAGAACCCCAAGTGGAGAAACTACCTGCGTCTGAAGGAGCTTCCCTGGCTCCAGGAGCACGTGGTTGATGGCAAGGTTGTCTTCCCTGGTGCTGGTTACATCAGCATGGCTATTGAGGCTGCTCTTCGTGTTGATGAGGCCGAGAGCGCCA